ATCTCACGCTCTCAGCTTTCAATCAATGACGTGCCTCTGTAACGGTCTCGAGCACAGCTGTTCAGAGGGCCGTCGACGCCAGAGCTCGCGTGCTTGCAAAGCGCTCGACAGCGCTGCGAGCCCTACTTGCGACAAGCACCACCGCCCGCAGCTGAGGGGATCTTCGTCATCATCATCATCATCATCATCATCACCATCACCATCATCAGCATCAGCATCAGCATCTTCATCACCATCATCATCAACATCATCCCCATTATCATCATCAACATGGTAGTCGTCATCATCATCATGTGTATCAACCTCATCATCATCATCATCATCAGCATCCACATCCTCATCTTCATCCTCATCTGCACCACCACCATCATCATTATCATCATCAGCATCATCATCATCCCGGGCCGGCCACCCTACATCAGCAGCGTATTGATATCAAGGATGTGGCGGCATAGGCTCTCACTGCGCAGTTCCGTCGAAACTCAAGGCAGCTACGTGCGATCGTCCCAGGTCGGCCAGTCGGAGTACCGGCATGGATGTTAGCTGGCATCTTCCGCCCCGTTTTCCGCCTCCCCCCAAATCCCCTGTCGCTGACCGCCTCCACTTTCACGAGACGAGACGGCACCTGCGGGCTCACGGTCGTCCTCCTCCTCCTCATCCTCATCCTCCTCCTCCTCCTCCTCCTCCTCCTCCTCCTCCTCCTCCTCCTCCTCTTCATCCTCCTCCTCCTCCTCCTCCTCCTCCTCCTCCTTCTCTGATCCGACCCCCCATCCCCTCCCCCGCGATCGCCCGCCGCTGGCCCGCCCCCCGCCGCTAACAAGAAAAGAGGGCCTGCCTGGCGCCTCCGCTCCGCTGGCTTGCCGCACGCGCCAGGGTTCGCCGTCGCCGGACTTTTTCGCGGCAGCCAGGGCACTGGCATTCTGTTCGCGCGCGCAGGGAAGATGAGCAGCCTGAAGGAAGCACAGACATACTCGAGTCGTGGAGAAAAATAGAGAGAGAGACAGAGAGAGAGAGAGAGAACAAACGAAGAAAAAAAAGAACGACTTTGGGCCGGTTCGGGTCACACACACACACACACACACGCAAAAAAGAAGTCAGGGGACGATGTTTCGACTGTTTTTGATTTTTTCGTGGTATTCTTTGATTTTTACCTAACAGCGAAGACTGATAGGTTTCTAGTGGTCTCAAAAGAGCTCACAGATCACTCCACAGGGGGGTCCGGGCAGGTGTTGGGGCGTTTCCGGGCGGCATGAGCCGGGCTCGTTTTTCACCAACAGTCACACACTTCGTGCTCTTCGCCTTCCCAGAACTCCATTCCCAGGCCACATTCTGGGGGGCCGGATGCAACAGTCACACACAAAGTGCTCTTCGACATCCCAGAACGCCATTCCCGGGCCACATTCTGGGGGGCCGGATGCAACAGTCACACACTTCGTGCTCTTCGAGTTCCCAGAACGCCATTCCCGGGCCACATTTTGGATGCCCGGAGCCAACTGTAGGCCACTTCGTGCTCTTCTATTTCCCAGAACTCCATTCCCGGGCCACATTTTGAATGCCCGGAGCCAACTGTAGGCCACTTCGTGCTCTTCGAGTTCCCAGAACTCCATTCCCGGGCCACATTTTGAATGCCCGGAGCCAACTGTAGGCCACTTCGTGCTCTTCGAGTTCCCAGAACTCCATTCCCGGGCCACATTTTGAATGCCCGTAGCCAACTGTAGGCAACTTCGTGCTCTTCGACTTCCCAGAACTCCCATTCCTGGGCCACATTTTCAGCAGGGGCAAGAGCACGACGAGGAGGAGGACGAGCAAGACCAGGAGGACGAGGACGAGCAGGAGCAGGACGAGGAGCAGGAGGAGCAGGAGAAGAAGGACGAGCAGGAGGAGGAGGAGGACGAGCAGGAGGAGGAGGACGACCAGGAGGAGGAGGACGACCGTACCAGGAGGAGGACGAGGACGAGGAGGAGGAGGAGGAGGGGGGGGGGAGAGTACCAGGAGGAGGAGAACGAGGACCACCAGGAGGAGGAGGAGGAGGAGGAGGAGGAGGAGGAGGAGAGAACACCAGGAGGAGAGGACGAGCAAGACGAGGAGGACGAGAACGAGGACGACCAGGGAGGAGGAGGAGGAGGAGGAGGAGGAGGAGGAGGGGAGGGGGAGGACTACCAGGAGGAGGAGGAGGAGGAGGAGGAGGAGGAGGAGGAGGAGGAGAGGAGGAGGAGGAGGACGAGGAGGAGGAGGAGGAGGAGGAGGACGAGGAGGAGGGGGGGGGAGAGCACCAGGAGGAGGAGAACGAGGACCACCAGGAGGAGGAGGAGGAGGAGGAGGAGGAGGAGGAGGAGGAGAGAGCACCAGGAGGAGGAGGACGAGCAAGACGAGGAGGACGAGAACGAGGACGAGCAGGAGGAGGAGGAGGAGGAGGAGGAGGAGGAGGAGGAGCAGGAGAAAGAGGAGGAGGAGGAGGAGGCAGGCTGAGGCTGAGGCTGTGACTGCGACTGCCGTTGCCGCTGCGACTGTCATCGCGAATGCGACTACGACTGCGAGAACAGCAGAATTCGACAACTGGATGTTCATCTGAATCTTAAGGGGAATGCTTTCAGATATGCTTCTACACATCGCTGTTAGGTTGCTTTGCCGGGATAATTTAATTTTTCGGCTCAAATCCGCCTGTGGGAGGACATGGCCGACCTAACCCGAGAGGTTTTTCACCGCCAGCGGGGGCCCCCTTTGGAGCCTTGCAGGGGCCGCGGGAGGTCGTCGGAGGACGGGCCGAGGGCGCAGGGCCGAGGGCTCCTCGGGGGGATGCCACGGGGTCCGGGACCCGTGTGTCTCGGGACCCCTCGCGCAGGATGTCCAGGACGTCCAGGATCTCCCAAGATCCCCAAATTCAGGGGAACAAAAAGTGATATAAAATCATAATCTCGGAGGTCCGCGCGAATTTCTCGGATCGGCGCTGGGGCCCCCCTGGCGGCGCCTCCGGCGCCGCCCCTGGCGCGCTCCGCGCGCCAGGGAGGGGGATCCAGCGCCGATCCGAGAAATCCGCGCGGACCTCCGAGCTTGTATGTTTATGCCACTTTTTGTTCCCCTACAAATGTTCCACACGGGCTGCAGGAGCGAGAGCCGCTAGATGCTCAGGAGCTCCTGGAACGCATCCTGCGCGAATCTCGCCTCATCATAAGATTAACTATTCCCGTCCCGCGCTTCATCCTCCCCGCGCCAGACATGTCCAGTCTTCTGGCCCCGGCTGGGCGCAGCACGAGTGGTACACGCCTCTCCGAGAGCGTTCCTTTATTCGCAAAGTGCCTACTCGCAAACGTCCGAAAAACATGTTTTCGCCTCGGTGTAATACATCGTGAATTCCCCGCGTCGGATCCAGGCCCTTTGCGAGTAGTTTCTTTTGCGAGTAGTCGGACGCGCTTGTCGAACGCCGTCATGCGCCAGCCTTCTGTCCTGATCTTGCCTGCAAGAGTAGCCCGCCATGTCCTTCAGGAGGGGAAAAACACACAGACACAATGAATCGTTGACTCCCCAGAAAATGTGGAAAAATATAGGAAGTTGGGGGGGAAGGCAGAAACCCAGAAAATATGAGAAAATATTGGGAATATTCTTATTTGTGTGTATTCATTCGTGTGTCCAAGGGCCCCCGCCATGTCCTGGCCCGCAGCTGCCCTCCCGCCGCGGCGCCCGGGGGGGGGGGCAGGGACGTCGACGGCACGCCGGGGCCACGCACGCGCGTGCCCACTCTGCTCCACAAGGGTGCCGTTCGGTAGCACATCAGGCGAGCCTGCCTGTGTCCTCGGATTGGGAGCCCAAAAATGTACACCACCACCACCTCCCTCACCCTCTCCCTCTCCCAGGAAAGAGGAGAGGAAGAGGAGGGTAGATGAGAAAGGAGGAATCGACGTGGTGGTGGTGTATATTCTTTGGGTCCCTATCGGAGTGTCATTTTCAGGGTGCACTAGCGTGCGTTAGCACCTGGTAACCGACGACAGAGCAGCGATGCAGCGTCGATCAGCGTCGGTTCAGCGTCGGCTAGCGTTTGGTCAGCGCTGGTTCACGGGAGCCAGGAAGATGGCATGGGAGGCTGCCACGAGTTGCCACCGAAGGTGCCAGGTGTGTGTGTGTGTATGTGCGTGTGTGTGTGTTTAGTGTGTGTAGTGCGTCTGCTTGTGCATGTGTGTGATTGTGTTTGTGTGTTTGCTTGTGTCTGTGCTGGTGTTTGTGTTTGTGTTTGTGAGTATGTTTGTGTTTGTGTTTATGATTGTGTGTGTGCGTGTGTGTGTGCCTGTGTGTGTGTGTGTCTGTGTGTCTGTGTGTTGGTGTGTCCGTGTGTCTGTGGGTGTGTCTGTGTGTTTGTGTGTTTGTGTGTCTGTGTGTCTGTGTGACTGTGTGTGTCTGTGTGCTTATGTGTTTGTTTGTTCGTGTGTTCGTGTGCTTGTGCGTTTGTGTGTTTGCGTGTGTATGTGTGTGCCTGTGTCTCTGTCTCTGTCTCTGTCCCTCTCTCTCTCTCTCTCTGTGATTGTGTGTATGTGTGTCTGTGTATGTCTGTGTGATGCACTTCTCTTCGGGCATTACGAGAACGCCCACCCAGAAAAGTCGACTAAGGAAATCTGCACCGGTTCACTCGGCATTGGCATTCGAGTGCACTGGTGCAGTTCGCAGTAGGTTTCGCTTATCGCAATGCGTTTCGCAGGATACATTTGGTTGTTAGTGGACGTCGATTAGCTACCCCGCTGGGGTCCACTCGGAATGCAGTGCTGTGCGCACGCGGGTTGCCCTTGGCAACTTTCATTAAAGGGCGTTTTGCTAAGGGGGGTTCTGTCCACCCCCGACTTCTCTCACCTTGGCACTGAGATTCTCTTCTCCCCAGGATAGAAAATGTCGATCGTCTTCATCCCACGGATCTCGAGTTGTGCGGGCTCTCCCTCACACTAGGGCAGCGCGCCTGTCTCGCCGTGGTGCCCGCATTGTGCCTGGCCCTGGCTCCGTCGGCCTCGCCCCGCCAGGAGCTGGACCTGACGATCAACGACATCCGCGAGAAGGGGGCCGTCGGTGCCCTCAAGGATTTGCTCTGCCACGAGAGCGATTTTTTGCACTCGCGGGCGATAACGGGCGTTGCCAGAGGGGGGGGAGGGGGGGGGGGGGGGCCAGGGGGTCGGTAACGTCACGATACGCGCCTGCGCCGTCTGGGAATTACATTCCCAAATGGCGCCGGCGAGAACCGTGAGGTTACCCGGGGAGGGGAAGGAGGGGGGGAGTCCCCCGGTAACGCCCGTTATCGCGAATCGTGAAAACAGCATTCCATTCGCCCTCGAGACTCCGTCGCTCTCCATCTGCCGTTCTTTGTGTCTCGGGCCGCCGTCCTGTTTTTGCTTCCACGCCCACCCCAGCCCCTGTTATCACTTCTCTTCCTCATCCTCGCCCTTCCCGGGCAGCAGACAATACGTTACGATTCCTACACATACAGCCATCGGTCAGTTTCGGTATTGTGGCCAACGTTGTTTTAAACTTACGGTCAGGAGACAAGAAAAACAGCCATGAACATGTATCACACTGACTGGTATTCATGTGTCCCTCCGGCCTTATCACGTCACTGTGCGACACTTTCCATTCTCCCGGTGCTGTCCATCCTCGTGAACCGGGACCCGTCCCTCCTACTTTTCTTCCTCATCCTTCTCCTCTTTACTTGGCACGCGACTGGCCGTAGCCATGTCAACCGAAGTTCCCCATTTCTCGCCTGACGCTCACAACCGTCGTCCTCCCGTGGCAGCAGATCCCCCTCCTCCCCGTCTCCACCTCCCTCCGAGCATAGCGTTCTGTCGGCACCGTTCCTTGACCTGATCGTTGAGGTGGCCCTCATTCTCGACTCATCCCTCAGGAAGGAAGGAAGGAAGGAGGAGGAGGAGGACGAGAGCGGTGGAGGGAGGAGGAGGGAGGTAGAGTGAGGGGGGAGGAGGAAGAGAAGGAAGGCGGAGAGGGGGAGGAGGAGAGGGGGAAGGACAAGCTAGGTGCGCGCGCGTCATATCTGACGTCCTACCCCTCCCTCCCATCCCTTACCATGGCGCTGATTTTCTCTATCCGCGGACGCGTGTCGTGGCGGACCTGTGGCTCCGCGCGCGCGTGCGTAGTGGGTGGTGGTGCACGTGCGTGCGTGCGTGCGTGTGTGCGTGGTTGTCTGGTGGTGGTGGTGGTGGTGGTGGTGGTGGTGGTGGTGGTGGTGGTGGTGGTGGTGGTGGTGGTGGTGGTGGTGGTGGTGGTGGTGGTGTGTGGTGGTGGTGGTGGTGGGTGGTGGTGCTGGTGGTGGTGGTGGTGTTGGTACTGGTGCTGGTGCTGGTTGGTGGTGGTGGTGGTGGTGGTGGTGGTGGTGGTGGTGGTGGTGGGTGGTGGCGGTGCGGCGCGGTGGTGGCGGGCGGATGGGCGCGCGAGAAAAAGGCCCGCGCTGGGGCGAGAACGCCATCCTGGACGACGGAGGCCAAACACCGATCCGAAAATGAGGCCCACGCTGCAGCGGGAGCACGATTCGGAACGATTCGGGAGCAGAAATGAGGCCGGCGCTTCAACGAGAGCAGCATTTTGGGAAAAAATGACGCCAGCGCCTCAGCGAGAGTCGTTTCCCGGGATTTCCCGGGCATCCTGTGTGTAAAAAACAGTACGCGGAGGGTGCGCGGCCATCACCCGGACGCCATCAGGGGAAGAGGGAGAGTATATTCATATTGAGTAATTGTGAGGAGGAGAAGGGGGAGGAGGAAGGCCATGGGCGAAAATCGTGCCTTCAGGTGAGGGCTCTCACCTTCGCGCCTTCCACTTCCCCCACACGCCCTCGCTCGGGCAAGGGAGCCCTGTGGCGCCCCTCTGGGAACAGGGGTGGCTCTCGGGTGTGCGCCCTTGGGGGGCATCTCCGTCCCATTCTTCTCCTCCTCCTCATCATCATCATCCTCATTCTCCTCCTCCCCCCCTCCCCCTCCTCCTCCTCCTCTTCCTCCTCCTCCTCCTCCCACCCTCCCTCCCTCAGGTGAGGCAGGTCCTCAGGTGAGTGCGTGGACTGTCAGATGCGGGCCCCTGGGGATCCAGTGCAACAGTCCGGCGCCCAGGCGCAACTTAAAGTGGAGCACCGAAGATCGGCAGCTGTAGCTGTCTACTACACCCACCTCGTACATGGATAACCCGATTGTGCCATGGATAACCCGATTGTGCCAGTCATGCGTGTGATGATATACGCAACATCCCGAAATTGCGGGTAAGAGCGGTGGGGCGGCAGGGTCGTTGGTTGTCTGCGAGGCTCTGAAGCAGCCCGCCGCAGGCGCAGATTTACCACATATTACACAGCGAGCCCGCCGCCTGCGCACGCTTTCTTGTCAAAGCAACTTGAGTGGGTCGCGGGGTGGATCGCGGGGTGGGTTGCGGGGTGGGTTGCGGGGTGGGTCGCGGGGGGGCCCTGGGGGGGACGACGACGAAGACGACGACGAAGACGGCAACAACAAGAACAACAACAACAACAATCACTTTACCCGAACGCTCAGTGTTCTCACCAGTGCCAGGGTTTTCATGCGACGCCAGCCAATACCCCCACTTTGTGGGGGGGCAGTGCAAGCTCTACCAAATATCCACACGACTCTTCGCCACCACCCACACCCAGCTTCCCGCCCTATGACGTTCGGACACTTCACTTCGTGGCATGCGGACGACCGTGGCTACTATTCAGGGCCCCGCGGCCGACGACGACGGCGTGCGCGCGCGAAGAAAAAACGAATGTGTCCCGCATGGTATTATTTGACAGGGATGATGGCCCTGGCAGGTGCGCAACCGTTGTCGCAGAAGTTCGAAAAAGTTGCTCGCAAAAGCCCGTTTGACAGAAATGTTTAAAAAGTGTTGGGTTTCCTACGAATCCGCAAGAGCGCGCGGGATGAGATTTTGACATTTTTTTGTTGAAAAACCATTGGTTTTTTGATGTTTTTATGTTAAAATCGCTCCGAACACTAAGCTTTTGGAAGGATTTCGTCTTGCGCGCGCGAATGTCCACTTTACCTTATTTTTTGCAAGGGATTCTTGAAATTTGATTATATTAGAACAAGAAATGTCATTTTATAGTGTTTTTTGCAAGGGAAAACGGATTACAACAAAACAACCGGATCTTGATCACATCGTATTACCTGAGGCTTCCTCACGAAAATGATGAAAATGTAGCTGCGGCCTAGGCGGCGCAGGGGGGCCGTGCACCAGGGGTCCCAACAATAATTATTCTTTAGAATTAATAATGTTCAACAACAACAACAACAACAACAGCAACAACAACAGCAGCAACAACAATCATTTTCAGACTGGTCTCTCTTATCTGGTAGGGTGCCATTTAGCACGTACACCCCAAACCCTCGATACTTGCCCTCCTTGTCCTCGATCGTAGACCCCCTCTGGGGTATATCTTCACTACCTGCCGCGTGTAGCTAGCACAGCCACGGAAACAGGGGAAGGCCGGGAGAAGGGAAGAGACGAGGGGGAGGGAGAAGGATGGGGCACGAGAGAGGTGCGCAGCAGGATGGTCAAGAGCAGGAGCACAAGCGGCAGAACCAGACGGGCGGGTCGGGCGGGCGGACCCTGACGGGCAGGTTGGGCGGGCGGGCCCAGACGGCCAGGTCGAGCGGGCGGGTCGCTGAAGCGTCAAGCCAGCATGAAGGAAGTTTCGAGCGACAGCGCGACTCCCGAGTAAATCGTAAGGAAATTCAGAGCGAGAGCGTGGTTCCTGAGTCCTGTGGGCACGGTGCCACGATAAATTGCGAAGGAGTGCCACGCGAGGGCGCGATTCCGGCATACATTCTGACCAAGTCCTGCGCGAGGGCACGAAGTTGAAATACCGAGTGAGGAAGTACATATCAGACGGGAGCCGCTGATGTTGGAAACCTGAGGCCAACAGTACAGTTTGAGGCCAACACTACAGTTCGAGGCCGAACTGCTAAGAAACAAGGTGCGAGCCCTGGGAGGAGACCTCTAATTGACAAATCATAGTTTGCACCGTGCAGAAGGGGATTAACAATTTCTATTCTTTAGATATGAGAATTCAACGTGACAGCGCAACAACCATCCGCACCACGGAGCCACACTTCAGCCACGCGTCCAGGAACAGTGAATGAACTTTCGGCCCCCTCCCTCGGATGAGACGCTGCTAGTGATTCATCAGGGTTCGGGCGCGTACTTCGCGCCCGCATTTGACGAATGAGTCCTCTGGTGTGTTTGCTGTGCACCACGGTCCAACCGCACCACACTGGCGTGTACTTAAGCTTCCCCTCACCTCCTGCTTTCTTCCCCACCCCACAAGAAAACACAGCAAAGGGACAGGTGAGGGAGGAAGGGATGATTACGAAGAGAGACAGAGAGAGAGAGAGAGAGAGAGAGATGGAGGGAGAGAGAGGGAGAGGGAGAGGAAGAGAGACAGAGAGAGACAGAGAGACAGGTGGTTGCATTCCCGAGCTGCCGAAGGGGTGCGGTAACAAACGCAGTGCCACTGAATTCACGTGGCCTTGGAAGGTGCCAACATGTATTCCCATTAGAACCACAGTGCTTAGGCCACGGCGCCCAGGCCCTCTTGTTTATTCGGCTCAGCCCGTGTGCCCTACAGGGTGATGGCTCCAGGAAGCTGAGCCCATGAGTCATATTACATTAAGGCCCTCCTCCTCCTCAGCGCCCTCCAGGCCCACCTGAGCCATATTACCTCAAGCTCTCCTCGTCCTCCTCCTCCTCCTCCTCCTCCTTCTCCTCCTCGCCCGCTGTACAAAGCCCCCTTTTCGGATTGCACGTCGCACGATGGGGTCCTGTTGGGGACCAAGTTGATCTAGGACACCCCAACTTGGATTCCTGGCATTGGGACGGAATGGGTGGGAGGGGTCGGATGCCAGATTTGACGCGAGCGCATCTAGCTTGACCTCCCCCTCGCCCCCTCCCCCCATCCCCCCCCGCCACGAGGCTAAGGCTCCCGACTGGACCTTTGTAGGAGGCCGTTCCTCTCCCCCCCCTTCTGCCATTCCCAGGTTCTATTCCTCCCCCTCCCCCTCCTCCCCCTCCCTGGTTTTATTCCTCCCCTCCGCCCCCTCCCCCTCTCCCCCTCCCTCCTCCCCCTCCCCCTCCTCCCCCTCCCCCTCCCCCCCCCCCCTCCCTTCCCCTCCCCCTCCAAGGTTCTCTTCCCCCCTTGCCTTCGGAGGTCCCCAGAGGCCCAGAATTGGTTGAGGACCTCCAAGACATGCCTCGAACGACGACTGATCCCCCTTTCTCGTCCCCTCCGCCCCTCCCTCCTCCCCGTCATGACGCATCACCCGTCTCGTGTCCAGTCACACGCGTTCCCCACTCCCCTTCCACGATAACTACACATCACGAAGACTGCTCTGCTCTCTCCCCTGACCCAGTCAGAAAGATGTCCCGCCCTCTCCACTTATGTTTTACACCCCGGATGTGTCAAACTTTGTCGAAGTCGTGTTTCTTATGATTTCTTCATCTCCGAATGGTTCTGTTGTTTCAAAAGGGCGGTCCCTCTGCAGCGTGGTCCTCAGTTTCGGACCGGCGCTTCGCCCCCTTCGCTCATTATGGCATTCTCGCCCCAGCGCGGGCTATTTTTCTGGATCCGAGTCTTTCCTCATCATTGTCGCCTCTCTCTTTTCCCCTCCTCCGCCTTCCCCTGGTCCCCATGCTCCTCCCGCTCCTTCCACTCCAATTCCCGCGTCTGCCGCTCGTCTTTGTCCTCCTCCTCATCCTTCTCCTCCTCCTCCTCCTCCTCATCATCATCACCATCATCAGCATCATCCTCCTCCTCCTCCTCCTCCTCCTCCTCCTCCTCCTCCTCCTCCTCCTCCTCTTCCTCCTCCTTCATCATCCTCATCCCTTTCCTCGTGCTCACCCCCCCTTCGTCCCATCTGCGCATGACACGATGCGTTTTTTTAGGGGGGGCAGTGCCAGACCGGCTGCGGCGAACACGACGACGTCTCTGAAGGTCTTTGCAGGCTGGCGGAGGCGGTCTGGGGAGAACCAGAGGACCAGAAAGGCCCAAAAGCCAATTCAAAAAATCGGCCCTCGATCCTCGAACGACCACTACGTCGACGACGACGACGACGACGACGCCCACGACATGGCCGTCGCCGACGACGAGGCCGTCTCGCGCCGACGATGCGGCCGCCTTCCGACGAGACCGACGACGACGGCGACGACGACGACGACGACGACGACGGCAGCGGCGGCGGCGGCGACGGCGGCAACGGGGCGGCGGCGGCGGCGACGACGGCGACAAGGCCGACCGCCGCGCAGTTGGCCGACGGCGGCAGGACGCCACCCTGGACGCCGTGGACCTCGTCGGCAGCTCCGCCAGCGCCGCGGCCGAGGGCGCCAGGCCCCAGCGCCGTCGCCGCCGCCGCCGCCCCCGGCGTTCGAGCATCGAGTTCTCGTCGCTTCGGGGATCGATTCGGGGATCGGTCCGGCCAGCGCTTCGAAGATATTGCTACGGTGGAGGCGTTCAGGCATGGGCCCAGGAGGCTTCAGCCCTTGGAGCATTTATTATCTGATGAAGGCGGCGGTGATAGCCATGGCCAAGCCTCAAGTGGTGTTCCACCAGCTTCTATAGTCCCTGGATTCCTTATCAAACGGTGCTTTATCCACTGTCCTCACTGTAGGCTCTTTGCAAGTTCTTGGCAACCTTGGAGGCCATCCGAAGCCTTTCTGAGCCTCTGAGGCCTCGCCTCCGTCGCCGGCCGGCGTCGTCGCCGACGTTCAGGATCGAGTTTTCGAGGGTCGGTTTGGAAATCGATTCGAGGATCGGTCCCCTGGTCGTTGCGTCTTTTTCGCACCAGGCGTATTCGTCTGGTTTCGGGCCGAGGGCCCCAGAACAATCACAGATCGATCCGGCTTGGAAAATGCCGCGGCAAAATGGGGTTGGACAACGTTGCGCCTCTGAAGACTTCGGGGCATCAGGAGGCCACATCGGGCCTCCCTGGGGCCACCAGAGACCTCCTGGTTGAGGTCCTCGCCGTCGTCTTCGCCGTCGCCGTCGTCATCGCCGCCGTCTTGGTAGTCGCCGTCCCCGCCGCTGGAGCGGCGCCGCCGTCGCCGTGGTCGATGTTCCAGGGTCGGGGCCCGAGGTGTTCGACATAGTTTTCTCTTGTTCGGGGCCTGCCGCAGCGTGCCCTCCAGTCTCGCAGAGACGGTGGAAAGCGCGTGGCGTGAGGCAGAGGGCAGCTCTTGACGCTTCGGATCTCCCCACCAGCCCATCCAGGTACGATGCCCAGGCGAGTTGGCTTGAGCAGGAAAGTGCAGGAGCGTGACATACTGTCTCGCTCAATGCCACCCTCCCTGCCACCACATTAAGTCGCACCCCAGGCTCAGCATATAGGCAGAGGTCGCTGTCGGACGGACAGTCAGCAGGAATCAATGCAGACGCCAGGTGTGCGACGCTCGCGAGGTGCGCCGCGCGTGCCACGAGCGCCACGCGCACCAGATGCACCAGGCAACCCCGGGGCCCGAGCGTACCAGGCGTGCCCGGTGCGCCAGATGCACCGCTCTCGCCGGCGTTTGGAGCACGACGCGCGTAGAGTGCGCCAGGCGGCGACAGGTGCGCTGGTGCACGTGACAGACATCGGGCAATCTGTCGACCCGCACCCCCACTCCACTGTCAAAATCTCAGGCAAAGGGGCGACGGAGGGGTCAACATGGTATACGGCGTGTGCACCCGCAATCAGTTTACAACTCAGATGCAGACAGTGGTCGAGCGCACACGAATATGGTGGCACCCCCATCGCCCCTGCCAAAGACCAATGTAAAGTAATCGCGGAGTTTCCGCTCATGTTCCGGATGTTGCCGCCAGGGTATGTTGCATTGTAGTTTGGCAGGGTTGATGAGGAAGGGACATCATTGTTCATTGTCGGCGGTTGGTCGTGCGGGGGATGCGGGTGTTGATTTGGGGGAGCAGTAGTGGGAAGCAGGAGGTTTGAGGAACAAACTCTCTGAACCACCGACGCCCAGAGGGCTCTTGGGATTCAGGCGCGCATGGCAAAGATCAGACCCGAGCATGGGCCGTCCGTGCGGGCCGATCCGGGCGAAGATGGCTTGACCAGGCAGGCGAAGCAGGATCCGCTCGCACGCCCCCGACGCTCCAACTCTTGCTGCTCCTCCCTCCGTGCGTTCATCCTCTTCTTGCTCTTGCCCCTCCCCTCCTCCCATCCTCCTCCGCCCTACCTGCCCCTGCTCCTCGCTCTTTCCGCCCCACTCCTTCCTCCCCCTCACCCGTCACCCTCCCTTCTTGTCCTCCTCCTCCTCCTCCTCCTCCTCCTCCTCCTCTTCCTCCTCCTCCTCCTCCTCATCCTCCTCCTCCTCCTCCTCCTCCCCTTTATCTCCTTCCCCCGACGACGACGGGATCGTCGAGGACGGTCATCACCACCACGACGTCGACGACCACCATAACGATGCCAGCGTCGACGACGACGCCGCCGACGACAACGTCGACAACGGCGACGCCGACAACATCGATGGCGACGACACCGACGCCGCCGACCGCGGCGGCGGCCACGACGCCGGCGAAGACGACAACGTCATCCACGACGACGGCGGCGACGGCCGCGGCGGACCCTGACGACCACATCGTCCACGACGTCATCGCCGACGACGACGGCAACACGGCGACGACGACGCCGCGACGTCGTCGACGACGGCGGGCGGCGACGGCCGCGGCGACGAGCGGCCGCGGCCCTCCGCCCGAGCCAGGTCCATGGCGGCGCCGCTGCTGGACCTGGGCGAGCCGGCGGCCACCGCGGCCACGGGGGCGGCGGCGCCTCCCCGCCCGGGGATGGGGGGGGCGTCGCGGAGTCAGGGGCACCGTCGGCGAGGATGGGCCCAGGGGAGGACTGCACTCCTCCTCCTCCTCCTCCTCGCCCTCCTCCTCCTCCTCCTCCTCCTCCTCCTCCTCCTCCTCCTCCTCCTCCTCCAGACCCGTTCAAGCAGTGGCGAAGCGTCCAGGCTGGCCTATAGGCCCACCAGAGAATGTTCTTAGAACCTCTTGTGGCCTGCACTAAAAAGGTTGTAGGAACCTTTCTGGCCGAGATTGTCTTGTTTTAGCGCATCGGGTTTATGTTCTAGGAACATTGTTTGGGTTGTTAGAACATGTGTGGGTTTTAAGAACATGTCGCGGTAGGACTATAGGAATGCCCGGACGGTCGGCCCCTGCTCAATCGGTGAGGATGGGCCCAGGGAGGACTGCACCCAGACGTGCTCGCGTCGTGGCAGGAGCACGACGGCGGGCTATCGGCCGCTTTTGGCACCTGGGGGCCCTAGCCGGGCCCCAGGATCGTCGAAGACGACTCGAGGTGAAAACCCGGCCCCGGGGAAAGGGTCGGGAATTTGGGGAACCTCTTGTCGAAAAATTCAGGACATCGCATTTCAGGGCATCGACCCGCCATCGCCCTCTCATCGCCGAGAAGGGGCCTTATGGCCCACCCCGCCCAGGAGCGTGTGCGACTTCGCCAGCTTGGCAGATCGCCGATCCGATCTGCTGGCGGTGCGTTACCAATTTCGAGTCGATGGATGGTTCCTCTCCCTGACGTGGCCCCCCCTATCGTTCCCCCTCAGGTGGGGTTGGCCTCATCGTCGTCGTCGGGGGGCAAGGACGAGGTTGCGTGGGGGGGGGGGGGGGGGGGCGACCTCAGAGGGTGTCGCTGTCGTTGTGGCCATGTTGGCTCAAGTCATTTTGTCGTTTGACGGGTCGCGAAGATGCATTTCAATGTCGAGCATGCCGTGAATTGATGATGTTTGCCATATATTTGTCATTGCATCGAGTTTGCGGCAGTATTGTGTTGTTGTTTCCCATGATACATGTGTCGACCATGCATACTCCTTAACGGAAACCAAGCTTTCTCGTCGGGAGTTGGTCGTTGTCCACGCTGGGATCAGCAAACCAAAGGTCAAGCTCCTAAACGTTGTTGCTGGACCTGTGCGGTTGACTTTGGGACTCTCTCTCGGAGGTGGTTTCCTGTATAACCTCGATTGTAGCCTGAAGTCCCCAGAGTTGTTCTCCATCGAATGCGAATTTGGTTGCCGTTTGGAAAACTTTGGCGCAGCTGGCCAGCACGATCAGCCTTACTGGCAAGGGGAGTGCAACGCTGCGGGGCCATCGTGCTCCTCACGATGGAGTCATCTCGGATTCATAAGTCATCGGCCGCTACGTGAGTACTGCCAGTGCCACCTGCATGGGAGCCGCTGCTGCTGATTCTCAGCAGGGGCACCGCGATCACAACTCGACAACCGCAAAGCACCTTGCCACAGCATGCGCTGTCGGTCAGGCAGTTGTGTGTCCGATGCCTGGGCTACGCAGTGGCGAAGTGCCGTTTGCTGAGCCCCCCCTGGGAGACCGAGAGCAGGGGCAGGTCAGTGTTGCGAGCCTGGCCTGGGCCGCAACACATAGACGCGCAGAGTACTGTCCTCCTCCCCCTCTGCCAGCACCGCGGCCAGCCCGGGAAAAAAGGGGTGACGATGATGAGAGTGACCGTCATGGTGATTGTGTTGCGGGTGATCGGTGATGGTGAAGTATTAGTGGGTACGATGTAGATGTGACGACGGTAATGAAGACGACGATGGCGATGGTGGCAATGATGGCGATGATGATGGTGATGATGATGGTGATGACGAAGAGGATGATGATGGCGACAATATCGATGACGGCGATAATGATGTTGATGATGATGATGATGATGATGATGATGATTATGATTATGATGATGACGATGATGATGATGCTGATGATGATGATGATGATGATGAGGATGATGATGATGATGCTGACGGTGATGGTAGTGATGATGCTGATGATAATGATGATGGTGATGATGATGATGATGGTTGAGTTGGTGCTTATGTTGATGGTTATGATGATGTTGGTGGTGCTGCTGATGATGATGTGACTATGCGTGCAGTGGTGATGATGATGACGACAATAACCGATTGCGCATAACAGGAATACAGGAGATGAATAATCAGCACGTCGCTGGGCTCTCACGGGGAGCCGCGACCGCGCGGTGCAGCCGCAACGATTACCCGATGTTCCAACACACCCTGTTGTGTCTGCACCCCGCCGCGCGGGTGTGACGGCCACTGGTGATTGGAGAGCGACTCCATCCAGGCAGTATGGGCCCGAGGACGGACAAGGCAAAGCAATTACAGAGATGATGACGATGGTGATCATAATGATGATAAGAACGGTGATGGTGATGATGATGGTGATGGTGGTGGTGGTGGTGGAGAAGATGGAGATGGATATGAAGATGATGGTGATGGTGATTGTGATAGTGATGGTTATGATGATGGTGCTGATTTCGATGACGAGGTGATGGTGATGGCGATTGTAATCGTGATGTTGATTGTGATGATGATGGTGGCGATGACGATGACGATGACGATGATGGTGGTGATGCTGATTTTAGTGGTGTCGCATATGACGATGGTTATGCTGATGATGATGTTGGTGCTGAGGATTGCGATCACGATGTTGGTCATGATGGTGAAGATGAATATTGAGATGAATCTGATGATGGCGCTGATGTTGAATCTTGATGGCGATTGTGATTGTGACAACGATGCTGATGGTCATGACGATTATGATGATGCTGGGAGAGATGATGACGGTGGTGGCAATATAATTGATGATGATGGTGTTGATGATGATGTTGATGATTATGATGGTGGTGCTGATGATGGTGGTGCTGATGGTGGTGATGGTGATGAAGATGATGATGCTTATGACAATGGTGGTGGTGAGAATGCTGATGATGGTGGTGATCATGATGACAAACATAAGAGGACGCGGCAAACTGAGGAAGGTGGTAATCATGGCGATGACGGTGATGATGATGATTGTGATGGTGGTGTTGATGGTGAATATGATGATAATAGGATGGCAGCGGTGATGGTGATGTTGATGACTACAATGATGGCGGTGGTGTGGTAATGATGATGGAGATTGTAGTGACGATGACGATGAACATGGTGGTTGTGATAGTGCCGACGATGATGGTACTGTCTCTGGTGATGATGGCGATGATGATGATGACGACGATGATCGTGGTGATGGTGATGCTGGAGATGATGATGGTGATCGTGATGATGGCGGTGATGGTGCTGATGATGGTGGTGGCGTTGACGATGATGGTGGTGACGTTGATGATGGTGATGGTGTGGTTGACGTGAAGAGAAACGCCGAGGAATCTTGGACCCCGAGGCGTAGCGTCTGGCGGGGCGGGCGGGACCGGCAGGAGCGCTGGGTGATGGGCCCGTCCCTCAGGCCGAGCCGGCGGAGCTCGGCCTGCTCGACGGCCTGAAGATGGAGGTGAGGAACACGGTGCAGGACGTCAGTTCGGGGCCAGGCATGGGTGAAGGATGAAAACTGTGTCGTCTACAGGGACGCTGGAAGAAGTGGCTGGGGCCAGCCCTTTTCACTTCTGCACAGCCGAGCCAGGCTTCCTTTAATTCTTCCAGTCCTGGCTACATCGTCCCAATTGTTTTGGGCTCATCTCAGCCCCTTCCAGCGTTTCCAGCCCTGACCACTTCCGTTTTTTATTGAATTCCCAATTTACATGTCTTCCAGCTCGTTAGTACAGCGTTGGGCCGCTAATCTTGCGTTGAGATTATTGGGTCTATGTGCCAGGCGTGCCCTGCTACCTGTGCATCGCCAGCCCACAGCACTCGCTCACGTTCGTGCGAGACGCTTGTGGCCTGCCTGCCGACCGTGTCCGCAGCGCGACCCCTCCTTCTCTCCCAATCTCCCAAAAATCGCGCTTGGAAAGTGAAGGACTGGATGGGAAGGAGGAGGATCAGCAGCAGGAGCAAGGGGAGGCCAGCAGGAGCGAGAGCGCCAGAGGCAAGGGGATCAGGACACGTCGTGAGGAGTATCAGCTGCAGTGCTGCCGTTTTGTGACCGACTCGTCTCGCGAACCTCATGGTATTGCTCTGGCCGAGCGCGTCTGAAGCATCATGCAGACATCCAGAGGTCGATCCCTATGCGCATCCAGGAGCTCAGTCCAGTGCTGGCCGATGTTCTCTTCCTTCTAAGTCTCGAGGATTTCCGCCCCCCCCCCCCAAAGAAAAGAGCTGCAGAGCACCCGCAGAGCCAGGGCACGGACCGGAGGAGGAGGAGGAGGAGGAGGAGGAGGAGAGGAGGAGGGGGAGGAGGAGGCGGAGGAGGAGGAGGAGGGAGGGGAGGAGGGGGAGGAGGGGGAGGAGGAGGAGGGAGGGGGAGGGGGAGGGGGACGAGGGGCAGGAGAGAATGGGAGCGGGCCCAGCTCGCCGCGCCAGAGCTCCGCCGACCTCCGCCGGCCGCCGCGCGGCCTTCCCTTCGGTGGCCGCGCCGGGCCCGGAGGCCGCGCCCGCCGCCCGCGGCCCGCAGCTTCCCCCCCTGGCGAGCGGCATCGTCGCGCGGTGCGGGCAGCCGGCGCCGCACCGCCAGACGGCTCGAGCCCCTTCTTCTCGGGGCCTTAGGGGGGCCACGTGCGAACCCTTCGGGCGAAGTGAATTATGCACATGCACCGATCCTGGCCAGGCCCATCCTTGACCCAGGATCGGTGCATATGCCTTCCTGACCAAGGTAGGAGGGCGGATGCACCGATCCTGGGCTCAGGATGGGTCTGGCCAGAATCGGTGTATGTGCATGGTTCTCTTTCCTCTAACCCTACCCCTGCCCCCCCCCACGGTTTCCGAGGGGGAGGGTGGAGGGGGTTCGCTTCTCTCGGGAGCTGCCGAGCGAAGCGAACCCCAACCTCCCCCTCAGAGGTCGTGGGGGGCAGGGGTAGGGTTCGCACGTGGCCCCCGAAGGGCTCGTCTCGACCCCTCCGATCCGATGTCGATGGCCTCCGATCCCGATTCGACTTCGACTGCGGATGCCCGTCCGGATTCCGATGTTGCTCGACGGCGGCCTCACTGGCCTGCCGATGTCCGCCGATTCGACGTCTCCTGGCTTGGCTGCCCGTTTCAGCCGAAGCGAGTCGTCTCAATTGCCGATCCGGCTCATCGATTCGATTCTGAGCTATGTTGTTCCTGCTTGCGTGTCTTGCGTGGCTCGGCTGCACGTAAGAGTGGTCCCAAGCTGGAGTGACCTCTCGTGCCGCGGGGATGCCCCGATCGTTGAACGCGTTGCGACAGCAGCGAATTTGCGCGGCTGGGCTTGGCCCCCGCGCGCACCCCCGAAAGAGCCGCGCGCCAAAGGATTTTCCGACGACGACGACGAGCGACGACGACGTCGACGACGACGTGGGGATGTCGGGGGGCACCTGCTGCGCCGATGACCGCGCCGCCCAGGGCCACCCTTTTGCGCTCAGCCGATGGGCGCGGCACGTCGGTCCCGTTTGGCTCGGGCTTCTCTTGCTTGCCGCTGCCCCTCTCGCCGTCGGTCCCCGCCCTGGGCCCCTGCGCGATGGGCCACCTGGTTGGGCAGGGCTGCCGCCAACACAGTGGGAGCACATGCCAAGAACCCCCCTGCTTGCCTCCAGGGTGCCCTGGGTTTCTTGGGTTTCGGTGGCTTTTGCGATGGACGGCGTGGCGCTCCCACACCAGAAATCAGTGGACGTCCTGGGGTTTCAGGGTTGGGTTTCTTGTGGAAGCTTTCTTGTGGTCGGGCTCCTACTGTAGCACGCTGGAAGGAGATGACGCGTCTCATGGGTGCAGCTGCCAGAGATGTGAGAGACAGACTCACTCGTTCCTCCCTCTCCCTCCCTTGAGGCCCGCCTTCTTATCTTTCGCTCAACCTCAAGATCGGGCGTGCGTCGAGGTCCCCTGAGACCCTGCAGAAAAGAGCATCGGCTGGCGCTGTGGGTCGAACTCGTGGATGCGCGTAGGGGTCGGCTCTTGGATTCGAAAACGTCGCGAAGAGGGATGAGAGACGAGCAGGGGGGAGGGGGAGGAGGAGAAGGGGCAGCTGCAGCAGAAAGGACGGTGTCGAGGAGGGCAAGGACGAGCAGGACGAGGGAGGAGCGGGAGGAGGAGATGGAGAGAAGGAAGCAAGGAGGAACTGCGAGGGGAGAGAAAAGCGGGGAGGGAGGACAGAGGAGGAGGAGAGGAGGAGGACGGGTGACGACGAGGGGGACGAGGAGGAGGAGGAGGAGGAGGAGGAAGAGGAGGCAGAGGATACGACACTGGCTGGAGCGGACGCGCGGTGCACTGTCCGACACAGAGGTAGCGAGAGCGGCGGCGAGCCGTCCTCGCGAGCTTGGAACGGTAGCTCGCCACCCCACCGAAACGGATCTCGGGCGGCAAACCCCAGGCACAGTGCGGTGGGTTGAGGGCTCAGGGAAAGTGAGCAAGCAGGGGAGCACACCGAGGGGGGTGCTTCGCTCTCGCGCTTACTGACCCCCAACTCCAAGGTTAGAAGGCTGGCTCCGATGGAGCCTGACCCATAAAGTTTCTGGGTCCTCGGCACGAAGGGGTCGAGGCGATGGGACTCGCTGGGAGTCGCCACGCGCCTCGTCCGAGGGATAAACTCCCGGAAGAAAAAGGCGACGGTTCTGGGCCCTTTCGCTCAGCTGGTGGCCAGGGCTCGAGGAAGGGCAATATACTAAGAGCTGACCTGCCGGCCAAGTGGTGAAAAAGGCACCAGAAACGCAAAGGCACACACTCCCAGGGGCCACCCAGAGCCCGTGGCCCCTGGCGGCTTGCGACGGAACGGGCCCGTTTGGCGGCAGGGGCTCGGCAGGGTCAGTGGTTTTGCCTGGAGAGGGCTTGGGGCGGTGAGAGCCAACACGCCTCCTCTTGGCGGGTCGGAAGGCAGGGCAAAACCTAGTAGGGGGTATGACGGGCCTACCCAGGTCCTCTATGGCGCTGGCATGTTCAGCACCAGTAGCGTCCCGAAGAAGTGATATGGGTTCAAAGCCAACCCTCCGCCTCACGTTGCGTTCAGTGTCCTGCGACTCGCTGCGTCGACGGCTTCTGTCACCACGCGCAGGGCTGGGAGAACACAGAGTCGCGGGACCACTTCCGCACACGGTGGGCGGGGGGGGTGGGAGACCTCGTCCGATTGCGAACCGAGCGAACGAAGTCGGCAAGAGAGGCAGCAGGCAAAGCATCATGGGAGGCAAGGCATCAAGAGAGGCAGCAGGCAAAGCATCATGGTCCTGGCCGCTCGCGGCGTCACCAGGGCGATCGGCATCGGGGGGGGCTCTCAGCAACATGATCCCCAACCTCCCGAGTCCGAGCAGGGCAGGCAAGGAGGGAGAGACGGCGACGGGCCTCCTCCCGCTTAGAACCCTTCTTGCAGTACAAACACCTCCAGATGCTCCGTTTGGGCACAGGGGCAAACACGTGCCGTCTGTGGGCCGAGTCCTCGATGTCGACGGGAACGGGCCGAGCTGGCCTGAAACGCTTGGGCCGTCGTCGTGGCCTGGTTTCAACAAGGTGGCCATCGAAAAAGGCCAGGAGGGCGTGAACACCCCACTGCAAGACAAGGATGTGCTGCTTATGCCCAAGCCCCCTGGCCTGACAGGAGGACCGATGGACGGCGTGCAGATCTTTGCCGTTACGGGCAGCGAAATCGGCCCACCTGTTGCCTACGGCATCATTGTGCTGACCACGCTGATGCCCTTTAACGAGAACAGCCCTGACATCGACCCCACCTCGCCCAGGTCCTGCAGCTTGGCCCATACTTACGCAGGCCGAAAGATTTTCTCCTTGAGCCCCACATGTCGGAAGCGACGCGCCGATCCCTTCTGTTCTCCTCCCACCTCATCTTGGCCTCTTCCCTCATCCTTCCCCCCTTCATACTGGGAAGACCCCCCTCCCCCGTAGAATCATAGCATTGGTCTGCAGATCCACAGCTCCGTGGATAGCATGACGCTTCACTTGCGGTGCTCCGTGGATCCCATTTCCCTTGGGTCCAGGATGTTAACTAGTATTATATATCTACTCCCAGGAAGTAAATGGATCCATCGTTTTTCTCACACAGGAAATTGGATCCGCGCAACACAGAAATAGGATCCACGAAACTCTCCCGCACCCGAAAAAAGGATCCAATTCGATCCATTTGATGTTGTCATATGTTTAGTCCAAGAGGGAAAACTTGCGGCCAGGGGATGTATGCTTTCCCACAAATCGACGTGAACCCTCCGCGGGGCACAACACCAACTGGGTCCGAGGGCCAGGCCATCCACGAGGCCTTTGTCGTCCGCGTGGACCACAACAGGAGGAAGGCAAACCAAAGGAACCTGGAGGAAGGCAAACAGTTCGGCCCTGGGCGAGTTTTGTATGGGGCCAGGGGGCGCTCCAAAGACTAACATTTCGGCACCGCGCCTCATGGGTTCCCGAAGTTGACAGAAGCCCCACCCAGCTTTAGCAGCATCTGGCCAGTACCACATCTTGGAACATGCCCCGTCCGTGTATGTGGCCCCTGTCATTCCTTGTGGGTTACCGTATTGGATGTGCCAACCGCAAGAGTCGCCACGCATCGGGAGCGACGGAAAGCAAGAACGACCGACGAACCCACGAACCGAAAACATGTTGTCGGGTGTTGCGGCAGGGAATCCAGCAAAGTCGAGGAGGAGGAGGAGGAGGAGGAGGAGGAGGAGGAGGAGGAGAAGGAGGGGGAGGAGGGGGGAGGAGGGGGAGGAGGAGGAGGAGGAGGAGGAGGAGGAGGGAGGGGAGGAGAAGGAGGAAGGCGGAAGGAGGAAGGAGGTGGAGGAGGAGGACAACCACAGCGGCGACGAGCGGGAGGAGGCCGAGCAGGAGGGAAAGCGGCCGGGCCACGCGGGGACGTCTGGCAACCGCGGAGTGGTGCCCTCGGCCCTGCGGCCCAGCCGGGGGGCCGCCGGTGCTGCCGGGGTTCCGCGTGCCGTCCCGGAGGCTCCTCCTCCTCCTCTCTTCCCCCTCCTCCTCCTCCTCCTCCTCCTCCTCGTCCTCCTCCTCTCCTCCTCTCCTCCTCCTCCTCCTCCTCCTCCTCCTCCTCCTCCTCCTCCTCCTCCTCCTCCTCCTCCTCCTCCTCCTCCTCCTCCCCCTTCCTCCTCCCTCCTCCTCCTCCTCCTCTCTCCTCCTCCTCCTCCTCCCCTCCCCCTCCTCCTCCTCCTCCTCCTCCTCCTCCTCCCCTCCTCCTCCTCCTCCTCCTCCTCGACTTTGCTGGATTCCCGGCCAAAGCACCCGACAACATGTTCTCGGCTCGTGGGCTCCTCATCCTCTTCCTCCTCTTTCTCTCCTCTCCTCCTCCTCCTCCTCCTCCTCCTCCCTCCCTCCTTCCTCCTCCTCCTCCTCTCCTCCTCCTCCTCCTCTCTCCACCCTCCTTCCTCCTTCCTCCTCCTCCTCCTCCTCCTCCTTCTCCTCCTCCTCCTCCTCCTCCTCCTCCTCCTCCTCCTCTTCCCTGATCTTCCCCCCTCTGGTCTTCAGCAGGGAGAAGCCCAGAAGGGCTCGACGACTCCCCGGAGAACCGAGGCTCCAAAAAAGATTGGAGCGGCTGGATATTTGGGCAGGTCTCGGCCTCCGGGCGCCCTTGCTGGGCCTCGGGAGTTTCAGGAGAAGACTCGGGACGCAAGGCCGGCCCCGGAGGAGTGGTCCGGACTTCTGGGCTCCACGCACCAGAAAAATTGGAGCAGCTGGATGTCTGGGTCTTCTCCAATCGGCCGGCGGGGATACGGTCCTCAGGAGAACTCAGATTCAGCGTGTCGCTCCGCCAATCCTGGCCCACCACGCTTCGGCGCGACACGCTAGCCATGCCGCCAAGTTTCAAGCATCAGCGTCCCGAGAAGGAGCGCGACGCTGACGCTTGAAACTTGGCGGAGCGGAGCGGCACGCTATCCAATTGCAGGGCATAGCGTGTCTTCGGGGCCGCCGCCGCGACACGCCAAGCAAAAGTTCCTGACCGTAAGGACTTGACGACTCTTTTCCATTCAACCAGCAGGGATACGCTAAATCCCCGTCGAACATCCCGTCCCCACAAGCGGCGTTTTGCCCTGCACGTGGGGGCTCTGCACACCAAGGTCGGTGCACGTGCAGCGGCGTGCGATCATGACAATCGAGGCACGCATTCTAATATGATGTCTCCACGTTTCACTCTGACGCCTGGTCGTTTGTTGGATGGTTGCGCTCTCTCTCTCTCTCTCTCTCTCTCTCCTGTTCCTCGCTTCTCCTTCGGGGGGGATATCAGAAACACACCAGAACCGACCGACGGGGAAGAGCCAGACAAGCCGGCAATACTCGACGCAATCCGATGTGACATCTGAGTCTAAACATATATAGTTACATTCCTATCTACCTAGACAAATTTGGATACATCGTGGAATGCCCAGCGCCAGTCGAAGGACAGCTGAAGGCGTCAAGTTATAACGAGAGAAGAACAAGCCTGGCAGTTTCTAAGTTTTGTCTCCGCCTCTGTTTTTACTCGGGGGGAGTTCGGTGTGTTGCTTTATGTTCTGTGGAGATGACGAAGGGCGGTTTCCTGGGGTGGTTTCCAGCGTCGGTGGGCAATTCTTGGGACCCAGGGCCCTCAGCAATGCACGCCGTTACGGTCGGGAGCTTTTGGCTAGCGTATCGGTCTGCTGGATTTGGCCCACCGCACTTCGGTGCGTCAACGCCCCGAGCTTTTCCCAACCTCCCGCCCCGCGGAACGGAGCGAAAGGCTATCCGCTCGCAGGGCAGCGTGTCGCCGGGGCCGCCGCCGCGACACGCACGGTAAGCAAAAGTTGATGATCGCATCTCTCCGGGAGAAATCGCGACGCTCGCGCCCAGCATGCGCGCACGCGCGCCAGGCATCCACTTTGCCACAGCTATTCTCGATCTCTCTTCTGAAGGTTTGCGTCTCATCACAAGTCATAGGACCAACGTATGAACAGTGGGCGCATGCTCGTCAGATTAGCAGATGAGGGAAAATGCTTAATGCGTCCGTTGGTCGTGTTTATTTGAGGGAGTACGCATGTATTGCGCGTGAGCAGAAACCTCCGTTGGGTGGCGTTCGCGCCCATGGAGACACGGGCGTCTCGAAAAGCAGCTCCCGCAAGGACTTCCGCGAGAAGGGTGCGATCGGCACCCTGAAGGACGGTTACTCCCTTTTTCTTTGTTCCATTTTTTTTATTGTTGACCAGTTGCTGACGATGTGCGGTCACAGTGGGTAGACATTGTTCGCCATGTTGTGACTCGGTTCCGGCACAGCAGGAGTTGGTGTTTCTGGGGCGTCCTGTTCTGCCCAATCCCATATGTATATATATATATATATGTAATGTTCGTTGTTGTTGTACTGTCCTTGCTCTCTGATTTTGGACTCGGGCACAGTCCACAGATCAAAACGGTCTTGTGATGACCACCGCCACCTTGCTATGTTTTGTTCAACTCGTCTTTGATGTGGTCAGGTGGTATTAATTTGGGCACACGTTTTCTTGTTAGCACGTACCTGAGCCCATCATCCCGTCAATTATCTACCCCGTCCTGTCCCCCCCCCTCTCTTCCTGCTCTAGAAGCGCCGTGGGTGTGCTACTTACTGCAGTGCGACTTGAAGTGTGTGTGTGTGTGTGGGTATGTGCGTGTGGGAGATCATGTGGGCGCTTCCATACCCGTCAGAAGAACATCCTGTACACTAGGTTCATCCAATAAGAAACCAGCCTGCCAGCAGGTGCCGCAGGGAAAGGTCTTATCCCCCAGTGGCCCCAGGAACCCACAGAAGCACTGAGGCACCTCAGGACACTGAAACATCGACGACCAAGACGCCCCAAAATCCCTTATAGCAAGATTCCTTACCGTGCGTGCCTGCTGTATCACCTACGTCCTCATATGGCTCTCCCTCCCAGCTTCTTTTCCCCAGCCCCCTTCATTCCTGTACCCAGCGCCCCTGCCATCAGAGAGCGATTCACCGTTGGGGCAGGCTCCCTCGAGTGTCGCCAGAAGCAGCGCCAGCGGGAAGTGTCTCAGTGGCTGTGGTATCCTCTTGCGCAGCTCGTCAACACCCCACCGGATCGCACAGTCGTTGCAAGACGTTCAGTTTGATTATTTTTGAGAGTGCGGATTTGAAGAGCTCTCCTGTACCTGGGCATAGGCGGATGGCGCTAGCCCGACTCTTTCGATGCCTGCGGTGGGGGAAGGGCGACGTCCATTCCGAAAGTGCAGCACCACCCCATCTACCCTCCACCACGGCGGGACCACCAGGGTTTACCATCACGCATTCGCAGTTGTTTTGTGGCCAAGGCCGGATCAGCGCGATCAGAAATGAGCGCGATTATAAAGTAACGATGCACATCATGCCATCATGCCCACGCATTCGCGACCTCGGATTTAAACCGAGACGTGTTCCGCGCGTGGCGAGATTCGCGCATCGACCCCGTTCTCTTGTTCCCAGCCTGCCCCGCGCAAACCTCACTCGTGACATCGTCGCGATCATCTCACTCCCCCCGTCATCAGAAGGGCACAATCAGAACGAGTGAGAAGAATTGCTGCGTTTCGTGAGACACCCTTGGCGCCCCCTTTTCGTGTGGATGGGGTACGACTCGCGACAGCCGCTGGAAGGCAGTTGCCCCACGGAAGTTTGCATGTCGCATGTGGTCGGACCGAGGTCTCAGACCGGAGTCGTTTGGGAGAAGGTACCCTCATGATTTTCATAACTATTCAATGGGTGTTCTTGTGCATGTTGGGGGAGGGCAGCTTCGAATGGTCTTCAGTTCGGCCGGCGGAGGGTCTCATGTGCCTGAGGGACGTTTTTCTGTCCTGGGTCCGACTGTACAGTCAAGACGTTGGAAAAGGACCATGTTTTGCTCAGGAGGCTCGGGTGCAACTCCTGGGAGGTCAAACTCTGACTTTGCCCTGGTCCGAAATGTGGCTTAATCCCGGTTTTTATCCCGCGTAATCCGCGGCCTAATCCGGCGTAACAGCCCCCCAATGGGGCTTAATCCTTCTTTAAATCCTTCCGACGAACACCTCCCAGTAGTGGTCTCTTAAAGGAGGGGCTCTGGATTCCAGGCCGTTGATTGTATGTGGGTCGGGGGATCGTCTCGTGGCCGAGGCCCGGCGTGGTCAGACAAAGCCCCATTCACTTGTTTTTTCTCCTTCTGGTATCGGAAGGGGTGTACAGCCTGGGATGGGGTGCCATAGCTCGTCAGGCACCACACGGGATCCAAAATCTTGGACGTATGCGTCCCCATGCAAGGTGCTCCAGAAAGGGCCTTGCCTTCGAGGATCGAAAGGGTTGTCATCTCTTCCTCGGCGGAAGGGCGGCGGAAGGTCGGCGGAAGTAAAACGAGCCACCGCCGTTGGAAAGCTGGCGGAAGGCGGTGGAAATAAATGGTTGCCCTCCAAGAGATGGCAATAATTGTGTGGTTTCGGGGTTTCCAGAGTCCGCCATATCTTCCTGCATATCTCATCACACTCGGGAGCCTGGCGAAGAAAATCTGCCGACCCTCCAACGTTCCGGGGGCGCTGAGGTCGACGGTTCGGAGGGGAAACGCACGGGTTCGACCAGCTATGGAGGCCCTCGCATAGAAGCGTTTTCGCCGGCCACGCGTAAGAGTGGCCCTTCGCCGGACTGACCTGTGGTGCGGGCCGACAGGGGCCCTCCCAGCGCTGATTCGCGCGCTTGGAGTCGGCCCCTCCGCGCGCCCCTGGTTCCAGGTCTTCCAGCTGGGGTCCGAGCAGATGGCGTCGGAGCATCGCGTCGCACCGCCGATGCACCGCGGATGCGTGGCCGCTGCGTCGGCGACGTCGGCGTGGAGAAAGTCGGGCTCCGCGCCGAGCCCTGCCGCCGATGCCTCGGCGACGCGGCGCGCCCCGACCTCCGATCCCGCCCGCTCGGCTCCCACGGCGCGAGGCCCGAAGGGCCGCTCCTGCGCGTGGCCGGCCTCGCCCCTCGCCGCCGGCGCCGAGGGGCCGCTCCGAGAGCACGCGCGCGCGCACGGCGCCACCGCCGTGCAGGAGGAGGGGGGAGGAGGAGGAGGAGGAGGAGGAGGAGGAGGAGGAGGAGGAGGAGGAGGAGGAGGAGGAGAGGAGGAGGAGGAGGAGGAGGAGGGGAGGAGGAGGAGGAGGAGGAGGAGGAGAGAGGAGGAGGAGGAGGAGCGCCCGGGGGGAGGGCCGCCCTCCTCGGCGCGAGGACGCCACCCTCGACGCTGCCGACATGGTGGCAGGCGCTGGGCCGCCGGCCGGCGCGCCGCTGCGCGGTGGGGCCTCGGCGCCGGTGGGACGGGCAGCCGGCGCCGGCGGCGTCGCCACGGAAGCAGTCTCGGAGTTGTGGGGAGGGGGGTTCGAGGCTTCGAGGCGGGTGCCGGGCTCCACTGCTCGAAGGAGGGCAGACACAATGAGCACAAGCTCTTGGCGCTCCGCGCGGATTTCTTGGATCCGCGCTGGGCCACCACCACCCCCCGCGGCGCCTCCGGCGCCGCCCCTGGCGCGCTCTGCGCGCCAGGGAGGGGGGTCCAGCGCAGATCCAAGAAATCCACGCGGAGCGCCAAGAGTTTCTGTTTATGGCGTCTGTTTCTCCTTCTAACTTCTGCCCCGATCCCGGGAGGCGGCTGCGAAGTCGCGCCCCCCGTGCCGGCGTCGATCGGAGTGCCTCGCTCTTGTTGCCGAGCACCCGTCAGGGCGGCGCTGATGAGGGGGGAGGCCGAAGCGGGGGGGCTTGGCTCAAGTCGGGCGCGTCCCTCTACAGGAGGAATGTTCAACAATTGTCAGAAAGTAGTTTGGGGACGATGTCTGGATTATTGCTAAGGCCTTACGGCCAGTGCCGCCGACCCTGGATACAACGACCCGCGAGGGGGACGGGATGCGTGATAAGACGTCGGAGGTAAATGAAGACGTGGCGGAGGAGGAGGAGGAGGAGGAGGACGAGGAGGAGGACGAGGAGGAGGAAGAAGAAGAAGGAGGAGGAGGAGGAGGAGGAGGAGGAGGAGGAGGAGGGGGAGGAGGGGGAGGGGGAGGGGGAGAGGGAGGGAGAGGGTCGCCCGGGGGGGGATGCGTATCTGCCCCCCCACCTCCCCCGGTGGGGAGGGTAAGGATGGGCTTCGCCACGACTACGACTTCCTTCTGTTTCGTGCTCGATTTCCTTCTATTTCGGGCGACGACGACGACGACGACGACGACGACGACGACGACGGTGATCCACGCAAGACGGCGACACCGGTATGCGTTTTCCACACGCCGACAGGGTCGGCGGATTTTGTTGGCGAAGCTTGGGCATTTTTGGTGTATTTTTATTCGTTGGCCCCAAATCCGCCTGCAGGGGGGACATGCCCGGCGTAAGGCCTGGCGAGTGCTGGCAGACGGGGTGACGCGTGCGCTCGGGTACGGACGCTCGGCGCCGGCGCTGCTGGCAGAGGCGGGAGCCTGCGCAGCACGAGGCTTTTGTTTGCCCCCCCTCCGGGGGGCCATGGATCTGGCCGAAGCCAGCGCGCTGCTCCAAAACCCGAGCATTTTCTTCTTGGGTGGAGGGCAAAGGGTGAAATCTGAAATGCCGTTTCGACTGATTTTCGAGGCTCGAATCTGCAAAAGGTGAATCACAAGACGGATTGAGTTTCGAGGTGCAGAAGCCCATACGGGTGTCACCCTGAACCCTCCGCCCTACGAACATGCTCAGAGAACGCCGACCGCAGCATGTCAACGCTGTGGAAGCCAGGCGGGGCTAGGACGAGGATGAATCGGTTTATCCTCTCCAGAAACGGGCCAGGACGAGGATAGATCGATTTATCTTTTCCTGGATAAATCGATAACGCTGTGGAGCTCGGGCGGCGCTCTGGAACGGATCCGTGCCAGAGCGTGCCTGGACGCTCTGAGAAGGCCGCGGCGCCAGAGACATCGACCACAGAACCGCCCGATCTCAGAGAGATTCTCTCGATCTATCCTCACCCGATGTTATCCTCGTCCCGGCGTCTTTTTTTCTTTTTTTCATTTTCTATTTTTAATTTTCGTCACGGCTTCGCCTCAGGAAACCTGCTGCTTCCTCGACTTCGTTCTTCGATGTTCGCGCCTCGATCCTAGACCTGAGCATTTTCTTAGGGTGGAGGGCTCAGGGTGAAATCCATGTGGGCTTTGTTGCACCTCGCAAATCACTCCGTCCTGTGATTCACCTGTTTACAGATTCATCGCAACGGCAGTACAGATGTCACCCTTTGCACACCGAGCGCGTTCCACTACTCGCAAAGTGCCTACTCGCAAACGTCCGAAAAACACATGTCCGCTTTGACGTAATTCATCGTCGATCCTCCGCGGGGGACCCAGGCCATCTGCGAGTAGTCACTTTGCGAGTAGTGGTACGCGCTCGTCTAACCCAAAGAAAGTGCTCGGTAGACCCTCGACCCTCGGTAGACCCCCGACCCTCGGGCCTCGACCCTCGAACGCCGATCCTCGCGGCGGCGGCGGCGGCGCCCCCCCCCCCAGAGGCGCGGCCACGGCGGCGGCGGACGGCGCGCGGACGCTCGGGGGCTCGCTGCTGGACATGGCGCCCCTGCCGCCCGCCGCTGGCGTCGTCCTCCTCCGGCGTCCCTGGGATCGCTACTGGCCAAGCCCCTGCCAGCGGGGCGTTACATGATGGGCCTGTGTCCCCACCACCACCACCACCACCACCACCACCATAAGTTGGAGGGGGAGGGGACATCCACCTCCTCCTTTTTTCGAGCGCGGCTCTGTGCCTCTCCACCTCCTCCTCCTCCTCCTCCTCCTCCACCTCCTCCTCCTCCACCTCCTCCTCCTCCTCCTCCTCCTCGTCTTTTTCCTCCTCCCCCCTCCAACTTATGGTGGTGGTGGTGGTGGTGGAAAACAGGCCCATCATTACAGTCAAGCCGCTGAAAGAAGGAACGCTTTGGGCTCAGGAGGGGCTCGTTTTTTCGGGCCGTTCCTGAGGTCTAGGTCGGGGGATTTGTCTGTGGCCGAGGTTCGCCGCGGCCCAAAAGCCCCTTCGTTCCTTATGTGGCGTTCCTTGTAACACGATGACTGTAGTAAACGGGCCGGTAGCCAAGGGTGCGTTTTCAGTGGCGCTTCCAAAAAACTGATTCGCCGCGCTCAATTGCGAGGTAAACCCCCCCGCCCAGAGTCATGATAATGTATCTATGTTTTGGCCGCCCCGATTTACCACGCACTAGTGCGAGGTAAATGCCCTGTCGCCCCGTTGTCGTTTGAAGAGGCCCCTCAGCTACCACCCCGTTTACTGACGCCCCGTTTGCAGAGGCTTGGATGGGGGAAACGGGCCCTGAGGGCAACGGGCCCGGAGGTTTCCCCTCTTTTGCGCGGGCCTCGGGGCCGGAGCCCCCGCCGCCGCCGCCGCCGCCGGCGCAGTCCTCCACGGGCCCCGGGACCTTCGGAGAGCGCCTCGGGAGGAAGAGCTCGTGCGGGGAGGAGGCCCCGGGGCTCCAGGGCCCGGTGCCCTCAGGTCGGGAGCATTGAGACGGGGGTCAACGCAAACGGGGGTCAGCCAGAGCGCCCCGACCTTGCAGGATCATGCAGGGCCAGGGTCGCATTGACCCGGGTTTGGGTGCAGGATCCTGCAGGATCTTGCAGGATCCTTCGCATTGACCGGGTTTGGGCGCAGGATCTTGCAGGATTCTGCAAGGCCTGGCTGGCCCGGGTCTGGATTGACCCGAGTCAGAGGACCCCCGATCAGGACCCGCTGTTTTCACTGCCTTGTCGTCGAGTTCGCCTGGGTGCGCCTCTTGGATGGCCCTCCAGGGGGGCAGCAGGTGTTCCTCCCCCTCCTCCTTCGTGCTGGAAGAAGAAGAAGAAGAAGAAGAAGAAGCGAGGGGAGAGCACGAACAGGCCTGAACATCATTTCTCGGAGCATCGCGCGGCTCGGTTGCAGCCCGAGGTCTCCTCGCGCTCCACGGGCGCGGGAAGAGAGGCTGGCCTCCCCGCCGTGGGTCCTCGCGGCCGAAGGCACGAATGCAGAAATTGCGATGCCGGAGAGGCCGTCGTTCGAGCTGTTCGCGCGCGCCCTCGTCGACACCGCCGCCGCCGGCGTCGTGCTCCTCTGGCTTCCTCGGGAGCCACCGGGCCGGAGGAAATTATCCGGCGAGCCTCGCGTTATGATGTTCCAACCTAGTTCAACCTTGATCACCAGACGGAACTTCGAGCACCAAGGAAGTACCGGAATTTGATTTCTTTCACGTGTCGGGCCCTGGGAGGCGACACTCGTTCGACAGTGTTTCGATACTTTTCTGGGTGCTCGAAATTATTGCTGGGATGTGGTCCGTAAGTGCGATGGGAGCGACATAAGCCTCGCGGAACTCTTCGAGGAGGGTTGCCAGACGGTTTCGGGGAGTGTGCCAGCCCTTTCTGAGAGAAAGGGCTGGTCCTGGCCGAGCGCCAGGGCCTGATGACAGGCAACAATAGGGGGGGGGATAGGCATAAGGAGGGCTGGATCGACCTCGAACGGCCGATACATCGCCCATGCATCGTCGATACATGGCCGATGCAGACTGCCCCATGCACCGTCGATGCATCCTCGATACATTGCCCTGATATCAACGGCGCATCATCGATATATCAACCTTTCGAGGTCGATGCATTCCCCCCCTACGGTCGAGCATCTGAGCAGGAAACCTCCCCCCGAAACCTGGGCCAGCGTTTCGCGACCACCAACTTGCCAGAAAGCTGGCCCAGCTTGAGCACGTTCGCCCTTCCAGCGTCAGCAACAAAACTTGGCCTAGGCTTTCTATATCTGAGAAATGTTCGGGTAGCTGGCCCAGATTTCTTCAAGGTTGATTTCCTTGATCCCATTGTCGGCCGTACGGTGGAGACCCATGCCAAGAAACACCCTGCATGCCTCCAGGGTTTTCTTCGGGTCCGAAAGTTTTGCTACGGGAAGCGTGACGTCCCCACACCAAAAAATCAGTGGGCGTCCTGGGATCTCAGGGCTGGGTTTCTTGTGGAAGGTTTCTTGTGGACTGGCCTCCGCTGTATGCTCCCCCCCAGGGTTATGATGTTCCAGCCTACTTTTCTCCTTGACCACCAGAAAGAATTTCGAGCACCAAGAAACTACTGAAACTTGAGGGTCCTTTCGCGGCGGGCCCCAGGAGGCGACACTCGCTCGACTTTTGGTTCTGGGATGTGGCCCTTGAGCACGATGGGAGCAGCATGGCCCCGGGGTTGCCCCCAACCCGCCGGAGCGCCGTCCCCGCCCACTCGCCGAGCGAGGCGGCGCGAGAGGTATCTGAAACGGCTCAAAGCTCCTCCTCCTCCTCCTCCTCCTCCTCCTCCTCCTCCTCCTCCTCCCCCTCCTCCTCCCCCTCCTCCCCCTCCTCCTCCTCCTCCTCCTCCTCCTCCTCCTCCTCCTCCTCCTCCTCGGTATCTGAAACGGCTCAAAGTGGCCGGACGGAGGGTAGAAATGAGCCCAGGAGTGCCTCAGGAGGCCCGAGAGGCTGGCCCAGTGGGCTCCTGGAGAGGTCTCTGAGAGCGCCTGGCGGCGCCTGGAAGGCCAGCACGTGAAGGGGGGGTCGTCCCGGGACGGAAACGGCGGCCAGAAAGTGCCCTGGCCGCAGCTGGGGCCCCCGGGTCGGCGGAATGAGCGAGGCGCGGGGAGGATCCTAGCAGGGGTTGCGAGGGCTCAGAGGAAAAAAGCGTGCTGGAGAGAAGATTTACAAAAAGCACTATTGAAGACCATGCCGTGGATCTCACACGCCGTACCCGGTGGGGCGGCGGATCGCTTCGCTCATTCCGCCGGCCCGTACTGTGCCATCGCAGGCGTTTGCTTGCGCGTTCGTGGCCTCTTGGGGCCTCGTGGGGGCCGTTTGGGGGCCTCTTGGCGCCACTTTTGGGGCCTCTTGGGGACCTCGTGGGGCCTCTAGGGGGCCTCCTGAGCTCTCTTGGGGGCCTCTTGGGGCCTCCTGGGGGCCTCTAGGGGCGGAAGGCTCGACTTGGTGGTTCGTGTTCCCCCTCTTGGGCCCCTCTTGGCGCCGTCTTGGGGCCCTCTTGGGCGATCTTGGGCGCCTCTGGGGCCGTTTAGGAGCCCTCTTGGACCGTCTTGGGGCCCTCTTGGGCCGTCTTGGGGCCCTCTTAGGGCTCTCTTGGAGGCCTCTTGGGCCGTCTGGGCGCCACTGTGGGCCCATGGGCGCTGCTTCCTGTGGGCTTTTACAGGGATGGTATTCGCTCCTCCTCCCTCCTCCACCCCTCGCCCCCCTCCTCCCCCTCTTCCTCCCCCTCCTCCTCCTCCTCCTCGATCTGTCCACCCTCCTTGTAAATGGCCCTCCCCTGTCGAGCCACCAGGCGTGTCCGCAGGCCGGCCTGGACGTTTCGCTCGAGGCGTCCTCGCATCTGCGATCCCGCAGCGTAGAATGTCCAACAGCTCCACGGGTGGAGGAGGCCGCCTCCTCCTCCTCCCTCTCCCTCTCTCCCCCCCCTCCTCCTCCCTCCTCTCCTCCTCCTCCTCCTCCTCCTCCTCCTCCTCCTCCTCCTCCTCCTCCTCCTCCTCCTCCTCCTCCTCCTCCCGACGTGCTGCAAGCGGATCGGACATGGCCCCCAACGGCTCCACCACCACCACCTCCTCCTCCTCCCTCCTCCTCCTCCTCCTCCTCCTCCTCCTCCTCCTCCTCCTCATCCTCCTCCTCCTCCTCCTCCTCCTCCTCCTCCTCCCGCGCTGGTGCCGCGTGCATTCATCAGATTTTGAAGCAGCTACAAGCACGGCAGGCGGGTCGTGTTCAAACTGTGGAAGCCTCTTGACGCCCCCAATGCGTAAAGAAATAGGGGTAGCGTACAGTTGTGCAACGGCTACAAGGATGGAGGGCGCATTCGTTCGGAACGCCAGCAACACTTAGTTGAAGGGTAAAGGGTGGCTCCTTTTTAAAGTTGGCCCTCGCCTTAGCACTGCGCACAGTCGCCTTCAACGCTTGCAACAGCTACAGGGCTGGATGGTAGCTCCCGTTCAGATGTGTTTTTGTTGCCCCAGCGCCACGCACATTCGCTGGGAAAGCTTGTCAAAGGACAGCTGGCGGCTCTTTTTTCAAACGTTGGCTCTTGCTTAAGCGCCGCATAGATTCGCCGCAATGCTCTGCTCATCAAGGACGGATCCTTTCACAATAGGACTGTCGCCTGAAACTTGACAAATTTAACGGCTAGAAGCTTGAACGTATGTAACAGCACACGGATGGAGGGCGGCTCATGGTTACGAAGAGACATTCGCATGAAACCTTTCCCGTGTGTGTGACCAGTTGTACGTACTAGTGTATCAATTACACGGATTGGGGACTGCTCAGTTTCAAAATGGGTGTGTTGTTGGACACCATTATTTCGTGAAAAGGGCAGTTTGCAGCGATTCATGGGGAGGGAACTTGGGACGGATGGGTGTATTGCAGCGTCGCCGTTGCACCTTGTGTTTATCACGGTCCTCGTCCTCCTCCTTCTCGCCGTCCTGCTAAACCGAGGTGTTTCAAGCTATGGCGCAGGAAATGTGTGCAGAAATTTGGGTGCGGAGCGAGGACAAACGCAAGGCCCTTTAGGACGAATTGACATGTCGCTCAGATCCTGCCTTTGAGCGACGTCGTGCTCTGATCCGAGTGCAGTATGGGAATATTCGAGGCTGGCGACCGCGCATCTACCGCACGCTTCGTCGTCTCATGTGCCCCGCGAGGTGGACAATGATAGCTCCAATGTCGGGGGGGCAGGAAATGCAGACTCCGCGCCCCCCGCTGCAGTACCACGATGGGGACCCACCTTGCCTCCAGTCTCTGGCATCCAGTCCAAGGGCGTCACTTCCCCTTAAGTTCAGCAACAAGGTATTCGGGGAGCCGATGAACCAGACCTCGCCGGCGGCGCCTCAGGTAGTTCTGCTGGCGTAAAGTTCAGTGGGTCCTAACCTGTCTTTCCAGATGGCGGCTGAGAGGGCAGCGAAGAAGTCTGCCAGTCCTTCAGAACTACATCGGGTAAGGTGGCACAGATTTGGGCGGCTGGGTGCAGTCGCTTCCCCAGCACGTTCCTGCTCAAGGTCCTCTTCAAGATCCTGGGTACCCTCTGTCCCAGTCCAATGTCGGAGACTCTTGCTTCGTCAACGTTGACGGCGCGGTCGGCGAGTTCCAGTATGTCGTTCTTGATGTTGCGTACGGCGTCCTCGCGGACAATGGTGGCGAGCATCAGTCCTTCCCCGAGCAGCGTGACTCCACCTTCCTGGACCCACTTAAGGGTGAGGGGCCGCGGCGGCGGGCGCTGCTAGCCGTGCGTCGAGGGAGCTCAAACCCTTTCGAATCGCTTGCTCCCTCTCGTCGTCCTCCTCCCCCTCCCCCCATCATTCTCCCCCTCTTCCTGGTCCCCTCCCCAGACATCCGTCAAGCCGGCCCCCCCAGAAGTTCCGACCCTCGCCCCAGGGCCAGATGTTCATCCCAGGTCGTTGCTTGACGGCCCGGGGCCCTAGCGAGGGCCCCCAGGCGCCGAACAAAACCGAAAGTTTCCCGTCGCGATTTCTTCGCCGCGCGAGCATGTCGGGATCCTCGTCCTCGTTCTCTCTCTATCTCTATCTCTCTCTCTCTCTCTCTATCTCTCCTTATCTCCCTTCCTTCGTTCTCCTCGACGACGTTCGCTCCTCCTCGTCCTCCTCAGCAACGTTTGCTCCCCACCGCCCTCCTCGACGCCCCCCTACCTACCCTTCCTTATCCCCCTCCTCGCCCCCTCCCCTTCTCCCCCCCTGCCCTGCCTCCTTCCCCCCCGCCCCTCCATCCCTCCCCACATCACCCTTTCACTCCTCCTCCTCCTGACCCCCCCCCCCTCCCTCTCACCCACCCCTACCCCTCCCCCTCCTCGCATCCCTCCTCCCCGTCCCCCCGCCAGGTGCATGAGGACGAGCCCGCAGCCTCGCCGGCTGCCCTGCCGGCCGCCGCCGCCGCCGGCTATCCGGCGCAGGCGGCCGCCCCGCCTCGTTCCTCATTCCTCCGCGCTTCTCCGCACTCCTCTTCGCTCTTCGCCCTTCCCACCTCCTCATCCTCCCCCTTCTCCTGCTCATACTCATCCTCCTCCTCATCCTCCTCCTCCTTCATCCTCCTCCTCCTTCGTCCTCCTCCTTTATTCTCCTCCTTCTCCGCGCTCCTCGCTCCTCACTCCTCCGCCCTATCCTCACTCTTTACCCCTCGCGCTCCTTCGCGCACTTCCTCCTTCTCCTCTTCCTCCTCCTCCTCCTCGTCGTCGTTCTCCTCCTCCTGTTCCTGTTCCTCCTCCTCATCCTCCTCGATTTCCTCGTACTATTCATCACCCTCTTCCTCCTCGTCCTCCTCCTCCTCTTCATCCTCCTCCTCCTCCTCCTCCTCATTATCATCATCATCATAATCATAATCATTATCATCATCGTCAGCATCATCATCGTCAGTATCATCGTTCTTCATACTCCTTCTTCATGCTCCTACTTGTCATCCTCTTCCTCCTCCTCCTCATCATCATCATCATCATCATCATGCTCCTCCCCATTGTCCAAAAGACGACCTCGCGTCGAGGCCTTGAGGCCTTTGGGCGTGTTTTGACCTCCTGGGGCGCTCTCGTGGCCACGGCTGGATCATCCTCGAAGTGCTGGCCAGAGCATTGAGACCCCCGAACCAAATTTTCACAGCATCACTCGCGCCGTGAAGGAATCAACACGGAGGGGCTTGGGCAGTGTTCGGCCGTGGGGGCCTTTGCTGAGCCCGGGGGTCGTCAGAAAATGACTCGGGCCGAAAAATTGGCCCCGGGGAAGGGGTCGGGAAGTCCGGGGGTCCACGTGGTGGAAAATCAAGACGCTGGGTGTCTGTGTCCTCCTCATTCCTCATCGTCCGCCCTCGCTTCCCGGCCCGCCTCGTCCTCTCCACTCCGCCTGGTCGTCACTCCCCATCCTTCCTCCTTCCCCATGCTCCTCCCATACTCCTGCTCCTCCTCCTGCTCCTCTTCCTCCTCCTCCTCCTCCTCCTCCTCCTCCTCTTCCTCCTGCTCCTCCCCCTCCTCCTATTCCTCGTCCTCCTCCTCCTCCTCCTCCTCCGCATCCTTGTTCCTTATCGCTATACACTCCTACTCTGCCACAAAAATCTGCACGAACGAAATGGGTACGGAAAGAATGGGTACAATCCCCAAAAACAGCTCCTGTTCATTTTGAACAGGACTGGCTGTCCGCGCCGCCGCGGCCTGTGTTCATTTGAGACAGAAGGCCGCCAGCCCAACAGCGGCCGCTGTTGGTTTGAAACAACATGTGGTGTTGGGCATTGTACACATGTTTTCCGTACCCATTTCGGGCGTCTAAGAAAAAGCGGCCGATGGCTGGCCAATCCAGGACATCCCATCTTTTCAGATAGAAGAGCGAGACAAAGCATACATCTCCGTTGTCATATAGACATTACTTACCGTTTACGAAAGTTCCGCGATGAGAAATCTGACCCTTGACCACGTCAACACAGGGCATCGCCACGCACGCGCGTCGTGAGTGAGCGAGTCCGAACAGATACAGTCAGATACGCGAGCCCCCGTTAGGCGCGCGGGGCCCAGTACAATGTCATGGGTCACGCCAGTGGCATGATGGGGCGCGACCACCTTGACGACGGTGACGACGGCGACGACGACGACGACGACGACGACGACGGCGACGACGGCGACGACGACGGTGACGACGACGATGATGACGACGACAACCTCGGTGGCGACGACGACGACGACAGCGTCACACACACGCCGAAGGGTCGGCGGATTAGCACAGTCGCGTGCGGTTAGGCGGTACGCGACTTGATGTCTTTTTCAAAAATCGTTGAGTGCGTTTTGTGTTCGGTTGACCCCGTGCCCACTGAAGGCGACGACGACGACGCCGAAGACGACGACGGCGACGGCGACGGCGGTGGCGACGATGACCCCATGGTCGGCCGCCCGCTGGGCAGGCGCCAGCGCCGGCGCCAGCGCCGGCGCCAGCGCCCGCACAGCCGTCCTCACGGGCGCCGGCGCCAGTCGCGGCGGCGGCCGCCGCCGCCCCGGCGGCGCAACCTGGCGCGCCGGCGGCAAAATCGGCGACGACGGCATTAGCAGCGGCGGCGACGACGACGATTGCGACGACGACGACGGTGGTTGCGACGACGACGACGACGACGACGACGACGACGACGACGACGACGACGACGACGACGACGACGACGACGACGACGACGACTACGGCGACGAGGGCGACGGCGATGGCGGCGGCGGCGGCGGCAGCGGAGGCGACGACGACGACGACGACGACGACGACGACGACGACGACGACGACGACGACGACGACGACTACGACGACGACGACGACGACGACGACGACGACGACGACGACGACGACGACGGCGACGACGACGACGACGACGACTACGGCGACGAGGGCGACGGCGATGGCGGCGGCGGCGAGCGAGGCGACGACGACGACGACGACGACGACGACGACGACGACGACGACGACGACGACGACGACGACTACGACGACGACGACGACGACGACGACGACGACGACGACGACGACGACGACGGCGACGACGACGACGACGACGGCGGTGGCGGCGGCGGCGGCAGCGACGGCGACGACGACGGCGACGGCGACGGCGACGGCGACGGCGACAGCGATGGCAGCGGTAGCCGCAGCGGCGGCGACGGCACCGTCGGTGGCGACGGCGGCGGCGGCTGTGACGACACCTGCGGCGGCAACCTTGACGTCAGCGGCGTCGTGTCCGAGAGCACGAATGCGGACACATGGACGAGGAGGAGAAGGCACAGGAGGAAGAGGAGGAGGAGGAAGGGGTGTTGGAGAGCGAGGACGAGGGCAAGATCATGAGCAGTAGTGGGAGGCGAAGGACCATCGGGGCGGGCCTCTACAAAGGCGCAGGAGACCAAGGAGGAACAGGCAGGAGTTACACCAAGAAGGAGGGGATAAGGATGAGGCGGGCAAAGGTGATGTTCTGAAGAGATCGCCCTTGCCGGTGCGCAGGGAGATGCAGGAGGCGACGATTGTAGGCAAAGCGCTGGCAGTCGTGGAGTACGGCTGGATCGAGCACCATTTAAACAAGAAGGGACGAAACGCCGCTCAGGCGGCGATAGCGAGGGTAAGGCATGAGCCCATTGGTGCGAGCCCACACCCGCGTGCCATCTCCCGCGGCCACCGGCTCAGCGTCAAGTGCCGCCTACAATTGATTGCGCACTCCGCAAAGACCAGCGGACAGCCACGCTCGGGACCTGGAGGAGTACGCAGGGATGCTCTGGCCGGATCATCGCCCTCCTGCAAGGCGCCGGCAGGCAGGTGCTGAGTCGGAGTGGAGACACCTGGTCACGGGAGCAGCGCACGGCTTGCGCAAGGGCAGCGAGCATTGGTCGGAATGCAAAGGTCACCTCGAGCACGTGCTCAGGGAGAGGGGCGCGAACTTATCCGTGAGGTGGCGGGAGTAGACCCGCGTTGACTCTATTTGTGCCAGTGCGAACGGCGCGATTGTCATGGGAAAAATACACAGGCACAAAGAATCGTCGATTCCCAGAAAATATAGGAAAATATGGGAACTGCGGGTAAGACGAAAATCCCAAACATAGGTTTAAAATGAGATGGGGGATCCTGAGATCTTCTCGGGGCGACTGGTGGCTTTTGCGGGCGGTGCCGCCGCCGTCGCCGTCGCACTGGTTCTCCACCCCCCCAAAGGATTATCGGCTCCCCTTTTTGCATTGCAATTTACATACGATTCTTCCCATCGTCCATCTCAAATTGAATTCGTACTATCCCAGGGTAACCGGTATCGCCCCCCCCCCCGTAATCATTTTGAAAAAAATATTATGCGCGCGCGTGCGTTCGTTCATCAAAAATCATAAGTAAAACATGAGACGAAATGCACACGCGCGCATCGTCGCGCGCGCATGCCAAAATTAGAGAAACAAAAGCCGTAGTTTCTTTAAGGATTTCAAAATCCAATGTTCAAAGAACATGTAAAACACAGGGCTTCGCATCACTGAAAAAAACTTGCGCGCTTCTGCTGATTCTCATGGAAAACACCGGTCTTTCAACATTTTCAATAAATGCTACCAAAGGGGCTTCGTGCACGCGCATGTCAAAATCGATCGAACGCCCTTTGCGCGCGTGCTGGAGTGGCACGATCTGCGTCAAATCGTACCATGCGGGACAGTCTCGCGCGTCTGCCGCTCGCGCATGCCGAACGCCTTCCAAAACCTTCATCACCGACGCGAAGACGCCGTCATCGTCGTCGGCGTTATCGGCATCGGCGCCATCACTTGCTGCCCCGTCGTCGCTGTCAGCATCGTCACCAGCATCGCTACTATCATCATCGTGTTTGCCGTCGTCGACATTGCCATGATACCGCGCCCGCCCAAGTCGCCGAGTCGCACTGAAGTGCCCGCTGGGATGTGCCGAGCGGTCAGCGCCACCGCGTTCGCGTCGGTCGTGCCAAAGTAGCTGGCCGATGCGCGAGCGAGCATGCGCGGGTCAGCGCGGCCGCAGAGATGCACCAACCAACACCAGGAACTCAGCGCAATCGTTTCCGCATGGATTCTGCAAACCAAGTTGCGGGTGGGTGGGTGGGTGGGATGAATGCGCGAGCAACGGAGTCGACAATTTCAAGGTTGGCAAGGTGAGTTCTCTTTTTTTCAAAGAACACTAGACTCGACACCCCCCCCCGGAGTTAACGGGACACTTTTTCGTATTGCAATTTAGACATGATTCTGCCCCATCGTCCCTCATACATAAGAATTCATAATATCCCAGCCAAGCCGGTGGCATCGCCCCCCCCCCCCCGCCATCCTCTGCCAAAAAACGGTGCGCGCGCTCTCGTTTATCCAAAATCATACGGTTTCGAGAATCCCTTGCATAAATGGGACGAAATGTGCACGCGCGCGCCGTCGCGCGCGCATGCCGGAATCTTTCAGGAGCCTTCCGTTTCGGAAGGGTTTCAAAGTCGAGTTTCAAAAAAATGCAAAAACACAGGGTTTCGCAACACTAATGTTCTAAAAAAGCTTACGCGCGCGCTCTTGCGAAATCTTAAGAAAACCATACGTGTTTCAACCTTTTCAAAACATAATAGCAAAAGGGCTTCGCGCGCGCGTGTCGAAATCGTTCGAACGCCGTTGCGCGCGTGCCGTCGCGAGAGCCCTCTCCAAAAACATATGACGAAGTGCACGCGCCCGCGTCGTCGCGCACGCACGCCGAAATCCTTCAAAAGCCTTCGGTTCCGGAAGGATTTCAATATCCAGGGTCCAAAAAAACATGCAACAACCCAGGAGTTCGCAACACGGATGTTCAGCAAAAGCGTGCGCGCGCGCTTTTGCGTCGTCGTCGTCGTCGTCGCCGTCCTCCCTCCTCCCTCGTCGTCGCCGTCGTCGTCCTCTGTCTTTCCTCGTCGTCGTCGACGTCCTTTTTGGCGTCGTCGTCGTTTCCGTCGACGTTGTCGCCGTGGTCGTCCTTCCTCCTCCCTCGTCCTCGTCGTCGCCCGTCTTCGGCGTCTCGTCGTCGTCCCTCCTATTTCGTCGCCGTCGTCGTCGTCGTCGTCGTCGGCTTCCTTTTTCCGTCGTCGTTGTCGTCGTCGGCGTCGCCGTCCTCCCTCCTTCTTCGTCGTTCGCGTTGTCGACGTTTCCTTCCTCCCTCGTCACTGTCGTCGTTGTCGCCGTCGTCGTCCTCCCTCCTCCCTCGTCGTCGTCGTTTTCGTTGGCGACGTCGTCGTCGTCGGCGTTGGCGTCGTCGTCGTTTTCGTCGTCGTCGACGTCGGCGTCGTCGTCGCCACCGCCGTCGTCGTCGTCGGTGTCGGCGACGTCGTCGTCGTCGGGTGTCGTCGTCGTCGGCGTCGTCGTCGTCGTCATCGGCGTCGGCGTCGTCGTCGTTTTCGGTGTCGTCGTCGTCGTCGGTGTCGTCGTCGTCGTCGAAGTTGTCGGAGACGTCGTCGGTGTCGTCGTAGTCGGCGGCGTCGTCGTCGTCGTCGACGTCGCTGTCGTCGTCGGCGTCGGTGTCGTTGCCAAGTGCCATATGGTACCTACCGTCACGGTCTGAAGAGGCTTTTGCAAATCAAGTTGCGGGTGGGTGGATAGGATGTTTGCAAGAGCATGAGATGTGTCAAAGTTCGTGTAAAAATCAATCGCGCCGCATAGAATCTCTTTGTCTAAACGGAGAATAGACTCTACCCTTTCCCCCCCTGGATTATTTGTTCCCCTTTTCGTCTTGCAAGTTGCACATGATTTTGTCCCATCGCCCATCCGAAATATGAACTCATACCATCCCAGCCCAAACGGCGCGCACGCGTTGATCACAAAGAATCAGTGTTCAAGAACCCCTTGGAAAATCCGACGAAGTGTACACGCGCGCGTCGTCGCTCGCGCATGCCCGGATCCTTCAAAACCCTTTTTGGTGTCGAAAGGATGTCAACGTCGCGTGTCCAAAAACAGATAGAAAAAATCAGGGTTTCGCATCACTGATTCTTCCTATATATGTATATGTATATATATGTAATAGGAAAACAAACAAACAAACAACTTGCGCCCGCGCTCTTGTGAACTATTAAGGATACCATTGGTTGTTCAACAATTCATAGCATGCTACCAAGCGGGCTTCGCTCGCGCGCATATCGAAATCGTTCGAACGCCCTTGCCCGCGTCGTCGCGTGCGCATGCCGTAATCCTTCAAGAACTTTTGCTTTCGTAGCGATGTCAACACCGAGTGTCCAAAACACAAGAAAATGGTGCTGAAACATCCGTTTTCAAAAAAGCGTGCGCTCGCGCTCTTGCGAATTCTTTAGAAAACCAGAGGTTTCGTTCCACAATTTGCATGGAATTGTGCCAAACGGGCCTCTCGCGCCGCATGCCGACATCATTTGCACGCCCTTTGCGCGCCGGCTGGGGGGCACGATCCGTGTCAAAGAATATCATGCGGGTCCCTCTCGCGCAGCGGCCGCGCGCGCACGTCGAAATCGTTCCAAAACCTTCATCACCGACGCGAGGACGCCGTCATCGTCGTCGGCGTTCAGCATCGGCGCCCGCACTGGCCGCGCCTTCGTCGCTGTCAACATCGTCACCAGCATCGCTACTATCATCATCGTGTCTACCGTCGCCGACGTTGGCATGATACTGCGCCCGCCCGAGTTGCAGACTCGCAGGCAAGTGACCGCTGGGATGTGCCCGGTGGTCAGGTGCTGACCGCGTCGGTCGCGCCAAACTAGCTGGCCGCTGCGTGCGCGTGTTTGGGTTGGCGCGGCCGCAGAGATGCACCAGCCAACGCCAAGCATGCATAGCAATCGCCACCGCGTGGGCTTTGCAATCCAAGTTGCGTGTGGGTGGGTGGGATGTTTGCCAGGGCATGGGGTGTGCCGTCTCGTTTGTTAAAACCACTTGCACCGCATATATTGCACCGCATATATTGCATTACGCAGATTGCATCGCATACGTTGCAATTAAAATTTGGGTGTCCCTGGACCCCTTTAGATGAGCATGGGCAACGCTGCAAAGTTGGGAGGCCCTTGGCAGAGGGCAGCACGCAGCCAGCGTAGTATCGGGTGGTCTCGTCTCGCCGGCGCACATGCAGGCGGCGAAGAGCACGGAGGAGGAAGAGGAGGAGGAGGAGGACGACGAAGAGGAGGGGGAGGACGAGGAGGATGAGGAAGCGGAGGAGGAGGAGGAGGATCGAGAGGGAGGAGGAGGAGGAAGAGGAAGAGGAGGAGGAGGAAGAGGAGGAGGAAGAGGGAGAAGGGCGGAGTGGTGCCCTCCACTTCTGGTGCTGAAAATAACCTCCTGGATGGGCACGTCTTGTCCTTCTTGTTTTTCTGGTGGAGAGGACACTCGGCCGCGACACGCCTAGCCCCGGGGGACACGCACCCCAAAGTGACGTGCGTGTCGGGGCTGCAGATTCAGCTGGAGGAGGAGGCGGAGGAGGAGGAGGAGGAGGAGGAAAAAGAGGAGGCAGGAGGAGCATGCAGGAGGACGACGCGACAGGCGCGCGGCAGTCGAGGAGCATTGCCCCCGCTGCGGGAAGGACGGGGCGCCGGACTTCGAGCAGGTGGTCATGGTCTGGGTTTTGCGAGGCGGCCAGCTGGCCACAGAACTAAACGCAGGATGCATTTCGGCGGCGCCTCCTTCGGGCGACCCCGCCGGAGGCGCAGGAAAGAGGTGGCTGCCGGCCTACGTTGGCGGGCCGTCGCCATCGGGCAGGCGATCCTGAATCAGCGCCTCGTGGGGAGGTCGCCCGAGGGCGCGGACGGCATGCCCCCGGGAGGGGGGTAAGGGCAGGTAGAGGAGGTAGAGGAGGTGAAGGCACACAGGAACAGCAAGAAAGCGTAAGGAAGTACATATTTCACACGAAGCTTGCTTGTGATGCGCAGGGCCATAGGAAACCCACAGATATTGGCGTTAACGCGCCCACCAAATCTAGAAGCCCGCGCCCATGCCTTGAGAACCCCCGCGTCCCCAAATTTCAATGTTGAAAGCGGGTGTGTCTACGTGTTTGGCAATGTTTACATTGTTACGGCAGCCGCGAAGGCAACAACGAAGTGGGTGGCCTTGGGTAGGCCCCACCGAAGCAACATCTTAGGACGGGCGCTTCTTTTTACGCCAGCTGCAGCAGGGCACGCCATTGATGTTGGCATACACCTTCTCTTCCTGACCGCCTCCGCACATGTCAAGGCACACTTCTTGTCAAGGCGGACAGCGCCGCTGGAAAGGTTAGGGCCGAAATCATGGGCTTGCAGAGTGAAAAACCCATCGAATTACGAGACGCTGCAATGATCGGATTAAGATCAGACCGCGTCGTATTCAAAAAAACATGGTAGTCCTCGAGGCCACCGCCCTCGGATGCAAGACAAGCGTGCCAAACGCCAGTGCGAAAGCCAGAGTTTAAAGAGGAGCTGGCCGCCAATCACCCGCGTGGAGAGCGTGAGGGGGAAATGAAGGACAAGAGGGAGCGGAGGGAGAAACGGGCAGCGGATATGACCAGCAATTGAGAGGGGCAAGGACGGAGGGCGACAAATCCGAGGCCGGAAGAGAGGAGGAGAAGACAGGGAAAATATTCACGGAGGAGGCAAAGCCGTCTCCTCATTGTTCCTCCTCCTTCTCCTCTTGCCCGGCCGGGGACCCGACCTCCAGAAGCTAGCCGATCTGAATTCAGTTCCTGCTCCTCCTCCCAGAAAGCTGCGCAAGAGGGAGGAGGAGCGCGAGGAGGAGGAGGAGGAGGAGGAGGAGGACGACGACCACGACGATGTCGACGTCGACCGCCTCCAGCCAGAAGTCTCGAGGGTCCCCAGAGGCCTCGGGAGAGCCCCCAGAGGCCCCAGAGCCCGACAACTCCGCGTCTCGAAACTCGACCCCCGAACGTGGAAGCTCGTGCCTCGAACCTTGTGACCCTCGAACTTTGATCCTCGATGAGCGCAAACAAAAGAGAGCCCGCCCGCTCCCAGCGGCGGCTCCCCGCTCGCCGGCGGCGGCGCCCGCGACGCCGCCCGCGAAGCAGCCGGGCTTCAAGGCGCCCCCCCCGCCCGCTGCGGCGGTGGGTCCTCTGGGCTTCGGCCACGCGCAGAGGGGGGCGGGTGACCTTGGTGTGTCGGTGCGCCGGTGACCTTGTCGATGTAGGCGGTGAGGTCGGAGACCAGGGCCTGGTAGGTCTGGTGCAGCGCTCCGTCCACGGCGGCGAGATCGATGTCCTGGGCCAGGAGTCCTCCCATCAGGCCCAGGGCGGCCGCGACCTTGTGCGCGCGGCCAAGCTATTCTGGGCCTCCCAGATGGGGCCCGGGTAGATGGGGTCGAGGGATCGCTCCACATCGCCGGTGCATCGGCGATGCCCGCGAAGGGGCCAGGCTTCGAGGGGGCCCCTTCTGCTCGCTGCGGCGGCGTCGGGGGGTCGCAGAGGTGGCGTATCCCCAGGTAAAGTTAGGGAGCACGTCCAGCTTGCTCACAGTTCCTTCTTGCACGGGCCGTGTCGGGGCGATTCTCCTCTGACCCCACCTCTGCCCTTGCCCAACCTTGGCGTCCCACCCCTGGCTTCAAGGCGGCCCCCCGCACGCTGCGGCGGCGGCTTATCTGATTCGGCGGAGCAAGATGTCATGATAATGATATGTTCCAGGATTTCCCGGATTTCCGAATGTCCCACAAGGTTTGCAGAGACGAGGGCCGCTGGATACGTATTGGAAATCTTGGAACACATCCTGAGCCAATATGTTCATGATATCAGCTCCGTCCTATTGATACGCTGGGCCTCCCAAGCTGGGTCCGAGCGGATGGGGTCGAAGGATCGCTCCGCGTCGCCGATGCATCGGCGATTTTAGATCTCGGTCCGATTGGAATGGGTACGGAAAGACGGAGGACGAGGACTGACAACAGCTCGCTGTCGGTGCCGCCGCGGGCGTTGTCCATTTGAGAGAGAAGGCCGCCGTCCCGACAGCGGCAGCTGTTGGTTTTCGATCGCATGTGTTTTCCGCATCGTACCTTTGTTTTCCGTACACAGTTCGGGCGTCGAAGTGATAGGAGAGTGCGAGGAGGATCGAGGATTGAATCTCGAGGTTGGGGGCCCGTGTTCCGCTTGTGTTGAGACCTCGAGGATGGGTCCTCCTCGAGATCCCGGCCAAGACAAGTCCGTGGTCAACTTTGGACCTCCACACTCACCGAGAGGAGGTCGTGGCGAGGGTCGGAGCTGTATTATTTCGTGGACGTTGTCCCGCCTCGGGGTGCTTTCCATCAGCTGCGCCTCATCCAGGGCGTTCCCGGGGTTGCCCAGAGCGTCCCGAACGGCCGCCAGATGTCCGAGTTGAGACCAGAAAGCCACTGGGCGTCGAAGGAGGGAATGGAAGGTGGGGCGAGGGAGAGGTGGAGAAGAAGAGGTGGTGGAAGAGTGATGATGACGATGAGGATGAGGATGAGGATGAGGATGAGGACGAGGACGAGGATGAAGAAGATGACGATGATGATGATGATGATGATGATGATGATGATGATGACGATGATGATGATGATGATGATGATGATGATGGAGATGGAGATGGAGATGAAGATGAAGATGAGTATGAAGATGAAGATGGTGATGATAATGATGATGATGATGCTGATGATGATGGTGGTGATGATGAAGGTGATGGTGATGGTGATGGTGATGGTGATGGTGATGGTGATGGTGATGGTGATGGTGATGGTTATGATGATGATGATGATGATGGTAGTGATGATGATGATGATGATGATGATCGTGATGGTGATGGTGATGGTGATGGTGATGATGATGATGATGGTGGTGGTGGTAATGATGACGATGATGATGCTGATGATGATCATCATCATGATCATGATAATGATCGTGATCGGGATCGAGATGCTGATGATTATCAGCATCGAACACAACATCATCAACATCTTCGCCACCATCGGAGGAGGAAGCCCGAGCCCTAGGAAACGGGAGGAGAAGCACGAGGCGCAGCAGCGGCGTTGCGGCAGCGGCTCGGGCGACGACGCCGGGCAGGGCGCAGCAGGCACACCCACGATGAGAGGCCCGCGTGCCAGCGGGCGCACCCGCGAGGAGCTGCTCTCCGCCCGAGGGGCCGCGGGGCCCGGCGGGACCCCTGGCGAAGAGCAGAGTCGACGAAGGACATGCCCTCCTCTTCCTCCTCCTCCTCCTCCTCCTCCTCCTCCTCCTCGTCCTCGTCCTCGTCCTCCTCCTCATCCTCCTCCTTCTCCTCCTCCGCCTCCTCCCCCTCCTCCTCCTCCTCCTTCTCCTCCTCCTCCTCCTTCTCCTCCTCCTCCTCCTCCTCCTCCTCCTCCTCCTCCTCCGCCTCCTCCGCCTCCTCCGCCTCCTCCGCCTCATCTTTCCCCTCCTCCTCATCCTCCTCCTGGATTTCTTGTGGTAAGATGTCGTGCTCTGTGCGTGCTCACTGTGCGGTCAGGAGCTTCGGCGCAGCCTGTCGCGACACGCGATCCACGCCGTGGTCCCCGAGCGTCAGCGCCGCCAGCCCTGCCGAGTCTCCCGCCCCGCGGAGCGGAGCGGCACGCCAGACGCCAGCCGCTCGCGGGGCACAGCGTGTCGCGGGGGCCGCCGCGGCGACGCGCTATCCAAGAGATCCTGATCGCAGCGACGACAACCAACGGCAAGCGATATTGCCAGGACCCCTACCTTCAAGGCTTCAGAGTTCGTGCAAAGATGACGCGCCTCGCCCCCCTCGTTTTCTTCGTCGTCTTCCTTGATGGGCTTCATCTTCGTGATCTTTCTCCTCAACATCCTCCTGTCGCACATTGCTGCGCTTCTTCAGCATGCGGGATCGGTGTGTACTTTGGTCGACTCGGCCGCCGCCGCCACCTCCTGACCTTTTACTCTCCGCATGTCCGATCCTCCTTCTCTTCCTGCCCCTCCTCGTCGTCCTCCCTCTCATCGGGTTCCTCTGCGTTCTCCTCACCGTCCGTCCTTCTCATCATCCTCTTCCTGCTGCGCGGGCATTGTGTGCTCCATGGTCTCAGAGCTCCAGGGCGCCCTGCAGAAGTTTGCACAGATTCCCGCCGAGCTCGTATGGAGGCCGAGTTCTTTGTTCAGCTGCGCACTGGCGGGCAACGCGGGCACCAAAGTCCCGAATCTCCGATATGGCGTTCGACAAAAAAACTGTTTGCCGAGTAGGGTGCCCATTGGCTTTGGGAGCGGTGCGAGCTCGATGCAGCGAGGCCCAACATTCTTGAACGTGCAGCCCCGTATAATATATATATATATATATATATATATATGTGTGTTCATCTGAATCTCGGCATACTTCCTCTTCTCCTCCTGCTCATCCCCCTCTCTCCTTAAGACCTCCAGCCCCCTCCCCCATCCCCTCCCCTCATCTCCCTGCCCTTCCACCCCACCCTCTCCCCTCGCCTCCCCTTCACTCGCTTCTCTCCCCTCTCCACCCCCTGCTGCGTGCCACCTCCCTCCCCTGGGCTCCCCCCTCCCCTCCCCCTCTCCTCGCCCCCCCGCCCCATCCCATCCCACCTCCTATCTTTAGGTCGGGCCTGTCCCCCTACAGGGGGATTTTCGACGAAAAATAAAACATACCCCCCCAAAAACCCAAAAAGGTCAAAAGGTAGTCAAAAAATAGTCCCCACACTAGTTTCGGAGTATTTTTGGATTATTTTGGGGGTATTTCTTATTTTTCGTCGGAAATCCCCCTGTAGGGGGACAGGCCCGACATAATACTATCTTCCCCGAGGCGCCAGGCCCCTCCACGGCCCTCCCCCCCGGCGCCAGAGGTGAAGCCCCTGGCGCTTGCCTCGGTCCGGCCCCAGCCCACGGCGACCGGGCGGACTGTCGACGCACCATCTCTCCCTCCGGCTGCTGCTGCTGCGCGTCGCGTTGCCCTGCCCTGCCGTCGATTGGGCAAGACGGGGAGGACGAAAGCGGAGGAAAGCGGGGAGCCGCAGACCCCTTGGGTCAGACCGGTTCGGCCCGCGTCGCCCCGCGCTGCTTGGGGGGCGGCCCGCCCTGCGGCTGCTGCTCCCCCCGAGGGGGGGGGGCACTGGCGCTGAGCCTCCCCTGCTGCCTCCTCAATCCTCGACGCTCGGTCCTCGATCCCTGCTGGCATCCGCGAGTGCGGATCGAGCGCTGGGCCTACCCTGCTGCCTCCTGCCTCCTGCCCGCGGGCGCCCCTGGGCTGCGGGTTGCGGCCGTGTGTGGCGCTGCTCGCGGGGCGGGAAGTCATGGAGGTGGCGCCCCTCCCGGGAAGCTGGCGCCGGCCAGGGCTTCCGGGTCTCCTGCTTCTGGCCGCCCCTGTCGAGGATGCCTTCGTGCGCAGCGGCAGCGGGCTGCCAGTGAAGCCGCGCTGCGCCGCACGCGTGCCCGCGAGCGCGTGCGGTCCAGGAGGCTTGCCTCCGATGGCTGGTGCAGTGCGCCCTTCGGGTCCATCGACGGTTTTTTTCTGGGGGCAGGCCGAGCCATCGGGGAGGGGAGAAGGTTTCTTAGAAGCACCCCTGCTTCTTAGGAGGCGCGAGCCTTCTCTATAGATACAGGACCGGCGCCTCCTAAGAAGCAGCCTCCTTCTGAGAAGCCTCCCCCTTCCCCCAACCCACTTGTGCGCGCCGCCAAACAACATCAGGCTGCACGTGCGACGCGCATTCATCATGGACGACATGCAACGAGCTGATGTCTGGGAGTCCGAGAGGCTCAATTTCGTAAAAGGGCGCGGGTGACGCCGAGGACCTGCCGGTGAACATCTTCCGTCAAACGCTGGAGCAAAAACAGATCCTGCGCATGACCAAGAAGAGCCTCGTCAAGAAGTGTTTCGAGGCGTTCGCGGAGATTGCCGAGAAGATGGATGACCACAAGAAGTTCTACAAGTTAGGAAGTGCCTCGTGCTGGGCGTGCACGAGGTGTTACAGCAACCGTACGAAGGTCGCGCAGATCATGCGCTACCACATCTCGAAGTCTGGAGATGCGACGACAGCCTGAAGGAGTACACCGACCGCATGAAGAAGGGGCAGAACGACATCTACTACATCACGGGGGAGAGCATCGCAGCGGTGTCCTCCTCGCCGTTCCTGGAAACGCCGCGCAAAGAGGGTCTCAAGGTCCTCTAAGTTCATTCATGCTTGGCTCAAGTGGTGTACTGTCCACCTCGCATGACGTGAGCGGCGCCGTGGGGTCACTCTTCGAGGGCATTGGGCGTCGTTTCGTCCCTGGGGCGTCTCGGTTCTATGGGAGGGATTGCGCTCAGGGGCCAGTTCCACGAAGCCCCGCGTTCTCTATGTCGCACATGCTCGCGCGGCTTGTTATGACACAGAGATTGTTGGTAGAAGGCTCGGGGTGGCCCACGGACCCGAGCCCCAGGATTTGCAACCCATTACCTTGCACTTTTGTTGCCCACGGAGCTCACATGCGGGGTTGAATGAATAAGCCATCATCGTCGTCAGCACCATCATCATCGTCGTCGTCCCCGACGTCGTCGTCGCCATCATGACTCGCCCACCCAACTAAGGGGACGTGGATGAGTGCCAAGAAGTTGCGAGTGAGCGAGTGGGACGTTTGCTCGAGCGTTGGAGCGGGCGGCCCCAAGTTTTCAAAACAGCTTTCGCCACAGCGCATGTCCCACCCATGTTGCACCCCATACACCACACCTCCAGGGTGCAATACGTCACTACGTTGGTTTTGGACTGGCGAGACATGTCTGCACAGTTCGAACGTGGCCCAGGCCACAGCACGACCATGAAGCGCGCGCAACAGCGCGCGGGGCCCCCCAACCGACTCCTTGACAAAATACGTTGCCAGGGTGCTGGCGCGATCATGCTGCTGAAGCACGCACGCGGGACATGGCGGGCTCACCTGGCGCATTCGGCGCGCTTGCGGTCCGCTAGCCGCCCCTGGCGTTCCTGGCTCGCTTCGCGCACAAGTGGCGCACCCAGCGCGCCCAGCGCACCTAAGGTTTTGCGCCTTGCTGGCGCACCTGGCGCCCACATCTGGTCCACATCACCGTGTCCTGTCCTCCTCCGCTTCTTGCTACCAGTCCCCCGTCTTTGCCAGTTTTCTCCTCTCCAGGTCCTCCCCTTCCTCCCCTTCCTCGCTCTCCGTTTCCCCGCCGCCCCCCCCCCCTATCCTACCCCCACCCCCCCACCCACCCACCCACCTACACATGCCTTCGTCCAGCCGTACCTCCCTCTCCTCCCCGTCCCCCTCCCGTTCACTCTCCTCCTCCGTTCAATCCGCCTCCCCTGTCCCTCCTTCCTCGGCCATGGCCCCCTCTCCGTTTTCCCCCCCGCCCCCGTCTTTTCCCCCCCCCTCCCCCCCCTCCCTTCCAAACTGGCGCGCACGCCCTGCCCCGCAGACCCCCGCCCCGACGGAGCCCCCCCCCCCAGCGAGACGCGCCCGAGAGGCGAAGTCCCCCGAGGTCCACCGCCTGGACGACGAAGACACCCCGCAGCAGCAGGCGAACTCGTGCTCCTCTCGTTGCGCTTGGGACCTGCAGCCAGGACTGGGGCAGGTGCGACCTGCAGCCAGGTCCTCGGCCGCGCTGATCAGGCTGATTGCGTCCAGGGGGTCGATCAAGCAAGTTCGACGCTCAAACAGCAACGCCCCGACAAGGCGCAATGTTCTGGTCCTGGAGAGCTTCGGAGGAGCTTCCTGAATCTAGCTCGTTGGAAACAGCATTGTTTGGTAGGCTTGCCGCCTCAGCTCGTACAGTGAACCGAGGTTGCAGACACGAGCGCTCACGCGGGGCATTCAAGAGGCCCCATCCTCAGCTCCTCCTCATCCTCCTTATCTTCCCATCCTTTCCTTCCTTTCCAAGAAAAAAACGCATCCCTGTGGCGCCCCGAAACGTATCGGTAGGGCGGGCCGGGCGTTCCTTTTGAGACCCCCTTGTTATCATGTATGGTTATGGACCTTGAAATTTGCAGCGGCTTCACGGGTGGAGGGCGGGCAGTTTTCAGAATGTGGTCAGTGCCTCAGCGCCGCGCGCGTTCGCTTTCAAAGTCTGCAAGACTTTCACGGATGGAGGGCGGGCCGTTTTTACATTGCACTTTCGCCGTAGCACCGCTGACATTCGTTTAAAGAGTGCAAGGGTTTCATTGGTGGAGGGCGGCCCATTTTCAAAAAGCGGCTCTCGTTTAAGCACTGCGCCCATTCATATGAGAAGTTCACAGGAGCTTCACTTATGGAGGGTTGGACCTTTTCAAAATGTGGCTCTCGCCTCAGCGCCACACGCAATCGACTTGAACGTCTGTGACAGTGTCACGGACTATTCTGGTTGAGGTCCCAGAAATGATCTCCGAGCACGGTGTAGGATCTGCCAGGGCGCAGCAGTCACATTGATTCGCGGTGCTGGAGTCCCACGGATGGTGTTCTGACATGATTCAGGACCGTCAGGACGCAGCAGTAATGTTGAGTTGCGGCGCTGAAGTCCCAGGAACGGAGTTCTGGCACATTCGGAAATTATCAGACGGTTGCGTTGTCTTGAACAGAAAGAGAGTGTGTTTTGTAACTTCGTTGATGCGTCGTGGGTTTACATTGGTCCTCCTCCTCCTCCTGGATCCTCGAGGGTCGAGGACCGCGGCTGCTGGAGGCGTGCCATGCTTGGCATGGTTCCCGAGGGCCTCCAGAGATCTCCTCCCTCTCCTGGGAGGGGGGCGTGAGGGAAGGGGGAGAGGGCGAGGTGGGGAGGGAGTGGGGGAGGGGGTCGGGGGGGGCGCGGGGATGGAGGGGGCGGGCCAGAGGGGTGGTGGGGGTAAGGGGTATGGGAGAAAAGATGGAGGGGATGAGGATGACGAGCAAGTAGCAGGCTGGAACGCTGAGGGGGCGACGACGACGACGACGAGGTGGAGGACCAGGAGGAATCAAAGAAAAGGAGGACACAGGAGGGGGGGGGAGGGATGTGGAAGCAAGAGAGGGAAAGGAAACGGGGAGGGGGGAGGAGGAGGACGAGAAGGAGAAGGAGGTGACGGGTAAGGTGGATGTGGATGAGAACGAGAAGAAGAAGTTTGATGAGGTGAACGAGGGGCACGAGATGTAGGATGAGGACGAGGAGACGAAGACAGAGGATGGCGAGTAGGAAGAGGTGGACGAGGAGGATGAGGCGGGCGATGGGGACGAGCAAGCGGAGGAAGAGGAGACGAATGCGGCCCGCCAACCGTTGAATTGCCAACCGTGGTTGCGGGGCCCGCTCTTTGAGGACGAGGCGGACGAGTGCCTGTTTGGTTGAGGATATGTCTGGGTGTGCCAGTCGAGGCAGATCCGCGGCACGCGAGATCCAGTGCTTCTGGTACTCATCGTGTCCCTTCTGTGCGACCATCTGTGCAGCGGTGTGAGGTGTGGCCCAGAGCATCGGCCAGCCACGAACGCACGTCAGCGTGAAAGCAGAACGAGCCAGTGCAGAAGGACGCGGGGATGGTTGACACGGTTGCCAAATGTTCTCAAGCTGTGGTTGCTTTGGCAGGCCGCGAAGTAGCATGTCCCATCCCGTTGACAGGCGAAGACGAAATCGCTCGTACAGCTCAGGCGGGAGGCGTTCGAGAAGAAGCAGCAGCAGCAGAACACGGAAGCCGAAGAGGTGATCGATTAAGGCATTGGTCTTTCTCGTGTATCTGCATTGCTTCGAAAGAAGAGACGGCAGTAGTGGGGGCATTGTTGAGGATCAACGACAGGGCGTCGCGGTGCAAAGTTGAGGTCCGACAAAGGCGGGAAATTGGAGGGACAGGGATGAGTAGGAGGAGGAACAGGAGGATCATGAGATGGACCGAAGATATGAAGGGGGGAATAATAGAAGGGAGAGATTGTCTACCGCAGGGGGAAGAAGGCGTGGATGCACGAATCCTTGCGGGCAGGCCTGATGAAAGTTTGGGATCGTTGTTTGAGAGGAGCCGCGGTGGAATGAACGGTGCACCACGCGCGGCGAGGGAGAGGAGAGGAGGACGAGCATGAACAGCAGCAGGAGACAAGGAGGTGCAGAAGAAGGGCGAGCAGCATGAGGAGGTGGAGGAGGAGGAGGACGAGGAGGAGGAGGAGAAGGAGGCGGAGCATGAAGAAGAGGAAGGGAATGAGTGGAAGGGGGAAGGAGGAGCAGACGGAGGAGGCGCTGGAAGAGAGGAGGGGACTGAGAAATTGCGTGAAGTGCAGGAAGAGGGGGAGGAGGAGGAGGAGGAGGAGGAGGAGGAGGAGGAGGAGGAAGAGGAGCAGGAGCAGGAGCAGGAGCAGGAGCAGGAGGAGCAGGAGCAGGAGCAGGAGCAGAAGCAGGAGCAGGAGCAGGAGCAAGAGTAGGAGGAGCAAGAACGGCGGCTCGCACGTCCTCCTTCCTCTTCCCCCGCCCCCTCCCTCGCCCCCTTCCACCAACCCCTTTTTTCCTTACCCTTCCCCATGATTTCCCATTACCCCCCCCCCCCCCCGCCCACCCCCTGCCCTCCCTCGCCCGCTCCCTCCCGCCTCCCTCCCCCCCACCTCGGGGGGGGGGCCGATCCGCGGCACCGTGGGAGGACGGGACGAGGGGCAGGGCAGAGAGGGGAGGGGAGAGAGGCGGGGGAGAGAGGAAGGGGAAGTGAGGGGAGAAGGAAGGCGAACAAGGAGGAGGCGAGCGGCTCTGTTGCCGGGGGCGCTCGGCTCCCTCCTCGCCCTCGCTCTCTTTCCTTCGCGGCCAGTGGAGGAAAGAATTCGAGGAGGAGGGGAGAGAGGAAGGGGCGAGGAAGGGGGAGGAAAGAGGAAGGGGGGAATGAGGAAGAGGAAAGAAAAGCGAGGAGGAGCGGAAGGGTGGAGGAGGAAAGAGAGGAAGGGGAGGCGAAGGGGAGCAAGCCAGGTGTGTTTGGGTCATATCTGACATCCTACTCATCCCTTCCCATAGCGCTGATTTCTATCGGATTCGGCCAGGTAGTGTCACAGCGGAACTGAAACTCCAAAATGATTCCATCGTGTCCCGCGCAAACAGAAGAGGGGTTTTGTGTACATTCTGGAGGATGGGGAGCGGGTGGCGGATGAGCAGGATGGCGGTCGGGGGGGGGGGGGGGGGGAAGAGGAGTATGAGGAAGGAGGCGGAGAAGGAGGAGGCACAGCAGCAGCGGGAGGACAGGGGGGCAGGGCTGAAAGGAGGAGGCGAGCGGCTCTTGCTGTGATAGTTTGGCTGTCTACCCTTCCCTCGATGTTCTCTCCTCCGCGCCCCGGCAGGCCTTCTGTGCAGGCTGGGTGCTCTCTGGCCGGAATGACAGCCACGGATCGTGATTTTTGCCAGGGGCTCGATCTGGAGATGGCGCCGGCCCCGTTCCCCGAACTCCAGTGCGCGGCCCGATGAGCGATTGGGCGCTGAGGTTGAGAGAGCGAAAGAGAGACAGGGAGGGGTGCAGGGAGGGAGTTAGGAGGAGAGGGAGGTAGAGGTAGACATGCGCCTCCCTGGCTCGATGGATGCAGAGATGGGGCCACGCATGCAGAAGGGGCCTCGCCTTCGAGGGCCGAGGGAATTCAGCATCCCTTCCCCGGCGGGAGGTGGCAGAAGGGGCGGCGGAAGCCGGCGCAAGGGAAACGAGGGCGCCTCCCGCAGGAAGCAAAAAATGCGCCCGCAGGAAATGCTCAGGTTTCTTGGTTCAGAGTTTTCCGAAGCCGGCCATCCACTGTCAGATGTACTTTTGCGGGGGAGTAGATTCGGGGTAGAGGCCAGAGGCTATTATTATGAATCCGTCCGCGTGTTTCTGGCCGTTTCGCTCGGGGCATCCTCATGACTCTGAAAACGGGACGCACCCATCACGCAAATCGCGATTTCATTGCGCAGTAGCACAATTGGTGTTCGACGTGGTACGATAATATCAACTGCCAATCGCACATATGGTTTCACATTCTTTCGCACAGCATTCGTACAAAATCATTGGCTTCCCAGCTGTTTGATCGTGTGTCTTCAACGTTGGTCTAATATTTGTTGTTCCGTGCCTACTTGCAGGGGTGTTTCTCGAATGTTCGCCCGATCGCAGGCTGTGACAAGTGCAATCGCAAGGTGTGGAGACCCCACCCGCGCCAGACTCCTCGCAGGGCTTGGCAACCCCATCTGCGCTCGACTGCGCCCCAAGCATGCTGCTTCATTGGGCTTCCTCAGCAGGCTCACCATACTAATCTTCACAATCGACAGTATATAGATCTATGCAGATATGTAGATGCATAAACATATATAAATACATGGCACCACAAGGGGGCCTCGTAGGGCGTCTCGGGATACACCAGCCGAGTCCCGCACCTGCAACATCGTCTCCTCGGCACCCATGGACACAACTTCTAAGGACTGCAAGTGTAGCGTTCACCATTGGGTGCTATCTGACTTCTCTGGTTCCAGGGTTGCTTCTCACCATTTCGACGAATCACAAGCTGTGGCAACCCCATCGTTGACCTATTTTTGTTCCCGATTGCAATCGCAAGGTTTTGGGAACCCCACCTGCGCCAAACTCAGGTGTGGCAACCCCACATGCGCTCGACTGGGCCCCCGCTGCTGCACCGTATCCTGAAAATCGGACGGCGTCATTTTAGACTGCCCTGCAAGGGTGCCGCCCAAGGGAACGGCCATCTCTCCGCTGATGTCGCTTACATCCTGCAGCTCGTATGAGTTTGAGTCTGGGCACGCACGTGCCACTTTCATGTGGATGTATATATATATATATACATGACTGCAGTTGCGCTTCGCGCCATGCACCTTGGTCCTTGAAGTTTGGCATGCAGGCGGAATAGCAGGAAGGTCAAGCCGACAATTTAGAGATAACTCCTTGTTGCATCTTCCGGCATCGCCGCTATAATAACGTTATTCGTTATCCTTCCTCCATGCTTTGTTTTCCTTAGTTTCGCCGTACCCTGCGCATTCTCCCCATCCTCAGCTTTTTTTTGCGGAGGCTCCTGCTTGGAGAGCCTCTGGGGGCCTCACAAAAGTTGTTTCAGGCTTTCTTAAGGCCTTCTGGAGGCCTCCTGGGCGTATTCTGGGGCCTGTGGGGACTTACTCGGGCCACCCTGCCTCGCGGTCTCCCTGAACGAACGGGTCACGATTTGGAATGCTTCGGAGGGTGTTTTGGGGCCATCTTGGGCCGCCATGGGGTTCTCTGAGGGCCATCTTGGACCCGTGTTGTGCCGTTTGGGGGCTCTCTTGGACTGCTTGGAAGCCCTGTCGGATGGATGTGGGGCGATGTTGGAGCCTCCCAGGCGGCTTCGGACGCCCAGAAGACCGCCGTCTTGGAGCGTCGGGGAGCCGAAAAGAGGAGAACCCCAAAATTCAGCAAAAACCGATAGAAATTCAAAGATTTGTGCCTCTTGGGGCCTTCTTGGGAGTGCTCTTGGAGGCCTCATTGGGGCCGTCCTGGCCTTTTGGGCCATCTTGAAGTCACGTCGGTCACTCTTGGAGCGCTCTTGTGCTGTCTTGGGGGGTCTCTGGGACGTCTCCGATGACCCCCCTGATCGCTCTAGGTGTGCTGGGAAGGCTTGGCAAACCGCCCTGCGAGGCCCGGGGTGCCGCTTCGAGGCCCGTCTGGAGGGTCCCAAAGCCCCAGATCCTGGGAATCCGTTTTTTAGGGGGGGACGGGTTTCCCCCCCGCCCTGGCTTGCAAAAATATAGGAAGAGGAATGTGTGTGTGTGTGTGCGTATGTACATCCATATATATATATATAGAGAGAGAGAGAGAGAGATCTATATATATATATATATATATACATATATATATATATACATATATATTCCTATTTGTTTACAAGCCCGGGCGGGGGGAAAACCCGTCCCCCCCCCAAAAAAAACCGGACTCCCGGGATCTGGGGCTTTGGGACCCTCCGGATCAGTCGGGAGTCCGGACCTTGACGACGGCCATGCGGATCATCTCGGCGATTGCTTCGTCGGTAAGTTTCCTCTCCAGGTCGATCGAGCTGTTGCCGTTCGCGTCGCCCGCGCAGACGGGTAGGCCTGACCAGGCCTCGATCTCCTCGAGGATCTCCACCTTGCAGCTGTTGTCCTCCAGCTCGCCGCTGGTCACCAGGCCCAGCACCTCGTGAAGGTTCGCCAGGACAATCTCCCGGGTCGCGGTGTCCACCGCGGCGCCCTTGCGGGCCGTGGGAGCCTCACTCTCCTTTTCCTCCATCTTGGGACCGCCAACATCCGTCTGCAGCCCGACCATGCCGATGACCGTGTCCGTGCGCAGCCGCTTGGCCGCCTCGGCCTGCTCCGCATGTAGCAGCCCCCGTTCTCCCTGAAGAGCTCCTCCCACACCTTCTTCTGCTCGTCCTGCGCCGTCAGCAGACAGGCCTTCTCACCCCGCAGCTGCGGGAAAGGCGGGATGTCCACCAGCTTATCCTCCTGCTTCCCGTCCTCGCCGTCGTTGATGCTCTGGCACTCTTGTGCAACACCACCTGCAGCAAGTACGGCGCCCCGCACTCCATCATCGTAATGTGCTCCACGTACACATTCAAGTGCAGGAGGCTGAGCCCTGCTGTCCATGTACTCCTGATCCTCGTCCTTGCTGTCGTTGACGCTCGCCCACTCCAGTGCAGCACCATCTCCAGCAAGTACGGCGCCACGCACTCCAGCATGATCATGTGCTCCACGTACACACTCAGATACAGGAGGCTGCACCCTGCTGTCGTACCAGTCGTGCAGCGGGTCACTGCTGGTGTCCGACTCGTATTGCTCCTCGTCGTCGGCGTAGTCGATGTCGTAGCACTCACGTGCAGCACCACCTCCAGCGGCACCCTCACCCAGACCACCTGCTTCGTCATGTGCTTGCCGTACACATTCAAATACAGGATTGCTTGCCGTACACATTCAACTGCAGGAAGCCTGACTAGTTCTCCTCCTTGGCAGAGGCCGATCGCGGGCTGTGCCTCCGCCTCCTCCTGCCCTTCTTCTCCGTCTTCTCCGTGTTCCTCGCCTCCTTCTCCGTGTTCTGCGGCCTGGCACCCACCCAGGCTGACGGCGGTCCGCTCCCCGACGCCGTAGCTCCTGATGCCGAGGCCGCCGCTGTGGACGCCGCCGCCGAGGACCCCCTAGAGCACCTGGCCCTCGGCGTCGCCGTCGCGCGTGCCGACGTCCAGCGCGACCAGCGAGTCGGCGCCCGCGCGGGCTCCCCGCTGCCACTGCCGGGCGTGGAGCGCGGCCAGCTCGGCGCCGTCGGCTCCTGCGTCGCCCTCGCTGGCGGGTATGGCGTGGCCCAGACGCCTGGCGGCGCGTCGGACGGCACGCCCTCGGTCGCCAGGAGGCGCGGCGCCTGCGAAGGCCGCACCAGCGCCTTGGGCCGCGGCCGCGGCATCGCCTTCGCGGGCGGCGGCTGGAGCGTCCTGGCCGTGGCGCTGACCGCGGCCTCCGCCGCCGCTCGGACCACCTCCGCCGTCGCCGCGGCCGACGGGCGGCGCGGGGGGGTCCTGGGGCGCCTGGGCGGCGGCGCCGCCTCGCGCGACCGCCAAGGCACCGCGGCCCGCCATGACATCGGCGCGGGCGCCTGGCTCGGGCGCGCGTGCCCCTTTCAAGTGCGCACATCCAACCTCTCGGGAGGGAAAGGGGCTGAGGAGGAGGAAGAGGAGGAGGTGGAGGAGGAGGAGGAGGAGCCTGGACGAGGAGGAGGAGGACGAGGAGGAGGACGAGGAAGGGGAGGGGGAGGGGGAGGGGGAGGGAGAAGGGAGGAGGAGGAGGAGGAGGAGGAGGAGGAGGAGGAGGAGGAGGAGGCGCTGGGCGGGACAGGGGAGGTCAAGGGGGTGCCAGTTCGGTGGGGAGCGCGTCCGGTTGGGTTCATGTCGGTTCGGCGGGGGGGCGTCCTGATCCGGTTCGGTTCCGTTGTTTGGTCCGGTTCGGCTCTAACCGGTTCGGTTGTGCGAAAGTTATATCCAGGTTCGGTTTGTGATTTTCTTTGTCTTGGTCGGGTCAGGGACGCTCTGGTTACGGTTGTCGGTTGGTGGCGGCTCGGTTCGCGGCCATCATGCAGCGTAAGTTGTACGAAGGTGTTGGGGCGGGTTTTATTTCTTGGGGCCCTCCCTGGAGTCATTTTGGAGCCTTCTTCATCATCTTGGAGGTCTCTTGGGCCGTCTTGAGGCCATCCTTGGTATTGGTCGTGCCTCCTCGGCGTGCTGGAGCCCAGCAGGGATCAGCTTGAAGGACTCGGTTATCCTGGAGGCCACGGAGGTCCCCCCCCCGCGCCTCCCCCCCCCCCCCGCAGAAGCGATCTCGGACCCTCGGGGAGGGGGAAAGGGGCAGCGGGACGGCCGAGTGTCCCACGCGCCTTGTCATCCCTGGCACACGGGGGGCTGGCGGACACATAAGGTTGTGCGTATGTCTGTAAACAGATGGTACACAGGGAGAGCTCATGTGCGTGCGCATATCTGTGAAGGTGGAGCGGTGCAGAGCGAGAGAGTCCAGTGTCTCCGTCACGGGCAGGAACATCGAGGGCCTGGGCTGCGCGACCACAATACAGAGCCTAATTGTCAGCCATACTGTTCGAGGTTTTGTTCCGCAGGCGAGGTCAGTCCTCCATGCACGCGCATCTTGCGCGGTTAATTTTGAACCTCGCAGTGCAAGGTCACTGCTGTTTCAGATGTTCAAGTTTTCCTAGAATTGGTAGCCGTGTGTGCCGCCCCTGGTATACCCGGGACAGTTCATATGTGAGGTGACGTTAGAGCCGGTTGAGTCAGGAATTTAGCGGTGTTGACGATGGCGGCAAAGATATGGTGTTGGCAGCAGTTGTTGAGTTGACGATCGGAAGTTCTGATTGACATGAGGGTATGAGGTTCAGAACCGACGATTGAGGAGGAGAGCAAGGATGGTACACATAATGGTGGCCATGCTTGTGGTAGCAATGGGTTTAACCCGAAGTGTGGTGTAATTGATGATACGTTGTTGACGATCCATACTGATTATGATGGAGCCCTTGTTTCACTATAATTAGTCCTTGTTGCGTTCCACCCAGTGGTGAACAAGTTCTGGCCAGGTGTGCCCTGAGCTTGTTGCCGGATGCAACAAGAAAGCACAACTTCAGCATATACAGTGGAGCGTGTGCTTCGGAGACCTCCTGCCGAAAAGCTGGGCCAGCGTTTCTTAATTACCTTGCCAGAAAGCTGCCCCAGTTTCTCGAGCACATTCGCCCTTGCAGCATTAACAAACAATTGTTAAGTCTAGAAAATTTCTTGCGAATTTGGACGAGGTGTCCGAATTACAGTATTCCAGGTCATCTGTCCGGCTCTACTACATATATATATGTATATAGTATGTGTATCTCTATGGTCACATGTGCAAGGCGGAGCAGATCAAGTTTGGAACAAGTTTGATGTGTGACCATAGGCTACAATGTGCATGTGATTGACGATGGGTTTCGAAGGCGAATCCTGCGATGAAGCAAGTGATGATGATGCTGATGCTGCTGATTCTGGTGATGATGACGACCAGGATGATGACGACAATGGTGGCGATTATGACGGTGGTGATGCTGACCCAAGAATGTGGGGTAATAAAAATCACGGCGATGGCGATGATGTTTATTATAATGATGTCGTTGTCGGTGATGGTGCTGTTGATGAGCATGATTATGATGACGATGCCGATGACGATGCTGATTATGAGGATGCTGATGTTCATGATGTTGATGATGGTGATGATGATGATCGTGCTGATCGTGATGATGATGATGCTATTGATGCTCATGCCATGGCAGATGTTGGGAACACAGTGTGCGTATGTCGGAGCATCCGTCCTGACAACACTCCTGGTGGGCAGGGGATCCCCGATCCCCCGTTCTTCCGATCGCAGATAGATTAGGAGTTCAATTGCAAAATCGTGGTTAGCAGCGTGATCGCCAGTTTCGACACCTGCACCGCTGTTGAGCATGGGGGAGGATGAAGGAGGAGGAAGAGGAGGAGGAGGAGGTTTCAGTGTATGTCTGTGGGTTCTGAGCGGTTGGAGCAGGTTTAGTTGTTTCTGCTATTGCAGCATAGGGCCTCGGGGGGGGGAGTAGGACGAGGATGAGAATGGGGAGGTGGAGAGGAGGAGAAGGAAGAGGAGGAGGGAAGGAGGCAAGAAGGAGGAGGAGGGAGGAGGAGGAGGAGGAGGAGGAGGAGGAGGCCGGCAGGAGTGGGAGAAGGGGATCGGGGCGGGGGTAAAGGCACGGAAAGGGGAGGGCGGAGAGGGGGGATGGGAGCGCGGGGTGGGGAGGAGGAGGAGGAGGAGGAGGAGGAGGAGGAGGAGAGGAGGAGGAGGGAGGAGGACGAGGAGGAGGAAGGAGGAGGAGGAGGAGGAGGAGGAGGAGGAGGAGGAGGAGGAGGAGGAGGGGGAGAGGAGGAGGAGGAGGAGGAGGAGGAGGAGGAGGAGGAGGGGAGGAGGAGGAGGAGGAGGAGGGAGGAGGAGGGAGGAGGAGGAGGAGGAGGAGGAGGAGGAGGAGGAGGAGGAGGAGGAGGAGGAGGAGGAGGAGGAGGAGAGGAGGAGGAGAGGAGGAGGAGGAGGAGGAGGAGGAGGAGGAGGAAGAGGACGAGGAGGAGGAAGAGGACGAGAAGGAGAGAGACGAGCGGAGGGGCAGGCTGGGAGAGGAGCAGGACGAGGCGAGGGCCGTGCTAGGCTGTTCAGGATACGCCGACGCCCAATTTGGGCATGCACCCACGGAGACACGCAGCCACCCCGCCTACGGCAGCGAAGCCCTGTGGACGACATGGCCCCGCGCCTCCCCAGCAGTGCGCGACTCTCCTGGAGACTGGGAGAATACGAGGAGGCAGGAGCGCATTGGGCGCGGAGGCGCGGAGGGACCAGAGGCCCTGACCTTCCAGAGAGCTATTTTTTTGCACGGGAGGCCTAAGAACCCAAAACACGAAACGAAACAGCCTAAAACCAAGACATAGAATAGCCCTGGGACAGGTTTTTAAGTCGCGTGCTATTTGTTAGCCCTCCTGGAAGGTCAGGTCAAGGGGGGGATGGGGGGGAGGACTGTCGCGCCTCCGCCGGCCGTCCGGCAGGAGGCGGCGGCCCCGCCGCTCCGAATCACCCCCGCGAGCGCGCGCGCGCTTTGGGCCGCGCGCGCGGGAGAGCGGCCGAGGATGCAGGTGCCTCGGCGCCCCGGGGGAGCACAGTCCGTCCGCCGGGCGCCCGGCATGGTTTTTGAAGGCCTGGCCGCGGACCAAGGGGTGTGCGGGCTCCGTGCCCGGAGCCGTGAGGAGAAAGCGCGTGCGCCGAGCGAGGGGTTGCGGCTCTCCCCAGGAGGAGGAGGAGGAGGAGGAGGAGGAAGAGCAGCAGGAGGAGGAGGAAGAAGAGGAGGGGGAGGAGGAGGGGTGTCATCTCTTCCGTCCTCGGCGACTTTTGACGTTGGGCAGACTCTAACTGCTATGCTTGAAGCGTCCTGGCTGGAAGAAAAAAGGTGAAGCGATCCGATCATGAACTGGCTGGAACAGATTGAGGTTGCAGGTCAGTGCGGGAATACGTGAGGCAAACGTGCGTCGGCGACCCCATCCTCCTCATATTCCTCCTTACCCTCTTCCTCCTCATCATCATCATCTTCCTCCTTATTTTAGTCTTACGTTGGGTGGGCTTTATTTGCTATGCTTGTACCGGCCTTCTTCTTCCTCATCCTCCTCCTCCTCCAGTTGGACACCGACTTTGGCGAGAGAGGCAGGTTTTAGATCGTCGCCCCTGCACGCCCGACATTATATACTAAGACGACCAAAACCAAGATTGACTATTTATTGGCTTCCGCAGGCTTCCACCCCCTTGTCAAAGAGGTGGTCTCTCTTGTTGATTTTCCATCCTCGCAGGAACGCCCTGTGCCGCCCTCTGTGCTTTTGAGCCGGAGGTGTTGGTGCCAAGGCTGCGCCGCCTCAAGCCGTATCCAGTGGAGGCGATGATTGGCCCGCAGTTGCCCCCAACAGATTGGGACCACCTGCAGAAGGCGGCGTCTGTCCTGCAACAGTCCCTCAATGGGCCCCTCGGCCACGCGGCGAAGCAGAAACAGCTAGATTTTTTGTATGCTGCATTTGCCGCTGCATTTGGTGGTGAGCTCTCCCTCTCTCGAATCACCCGCACACCAATGCATTCCAATAGATCCAGGGGCCTCCCGCCGCGCATAGAGCGGGTGCCCGCCGACGAGCCACTGCGTCAGCCCGAAGGTTGGGTCTCACGCACCCCCGCGTACCGCCGCATGCAGAATCATCTGCAGGACCTCCAGCGGCGCATCGCCACCGAAGGGAAGGTAGAGGCGGCCGTGGCGAGGGTGTCGGAGCCCACGGAAGATTGACCAGACTTGCTTGTCGCAGCGCAGGGCCTTGTGGGTGAATTTCAAGTCGTGTGCGGTCAGATCGCCCCAGACGGCAGCATTGTCCAGGTGCCTGCCTGTGCAGCAGGCCCTCGGGCTTTTTATGGGCCCCGCGGACAAGTTAGCGGCCTTCCCCTGCGCAGAGCAGGCTGCCGATGCCCGTGACCGCACGCAGGCTTGGCGTAATTAAGTTTCGGAAGCAAGTAGCAAGTCTGTGGGCTGGGCCCATCGTTGGTCGAAGGGCCAGGCGACGTGGACACCTACCCAGGTCCATTGGCATGAGGTAAGGTCTGGTCGGATTTCCGTTTTCCTGGGCAAGGAGGCTACCAGGCTGACGGGGCTCTGGGCCACGGCGCCCAACGCCCAAGTTCGTTATTCGCCGCCAGCGGACCAAGTCTTACCGCCGCTTAGTCCCCAGTACGTCTGAGACGCTCCCCGCTCCTTCCCCATGGGCGCTGTCCAAACCGTCGATGGGTTTCACACCCGCCACCTGGCGCTGCTCGCCGACGAGCAAATGGAAATCGCAGCCGCCCTCTTCCATGTGGCGGACCAGCACGGCCAGCTCGCGTCGCAGATCATCGGGATAATTTCAACGCTTCTCCAGAAGGCGGCGTCGAAGCAGCCGGGGGTCCCCGCTTGCAAGGGGATTGCCTTGATACCCGCCTTGTACAGAATGTGGGCCAAGTGCAGGCTCGGCATTGCGCGGGACTGGGAAGCAACGCACCCGCAACCCTTCCTCTGTCACCAGAAGGGTCGCAGCATCACGGAGCTCGGCCAAGGCGGCGGGGCGCCGCGCGCATTCTGCCGCCCCGTTGCAGTAGATGACCGACTAATATGAGAATACGGACCGTCGCCGCTTGTGGCAGAGGGCGCGGGAAGCGAACTTTTCTTTAGTCGTTCTACGCGTGGTGCTGAATCAATACCAGGCCCAACGCTTCGTGACGCACGCGCGTGCCACCGCGAGCACAGGTTGCCCCGCCCGCGGAATTGCGGCGGGTTGCTCGTGGGCCACCTACCTCGTACAAGTCTAGACAGATCAGCCTTTTAACGGTTGCCAGGTCGAGCATCCTACGCCCCCCCCCCTCTCCCTCTTCATAGGCGACCTCCAAATCGGCTCCACCTCCTCCGCCCCTTAAAATCTTTATTCGTTTTCGCCCATGTCACCCACGTGTTAATCTGTCTTCCGTCAGAAGCCCAAAAATGTAGGCATCTGGCGAACCGGCAGATTCGAATGCACGTAAACTAATCAGCACGGAAAGTTGGCAATCGGTTTTCGCACATATGTTTCGAAGAGACACAAGGGTATGCACAAAAACAGTGAAAGGAACAAGCGGACGACGACAATCTAGCAGAGGAACAGAAAGAAGAGGGTCAGGAACAATCTAGAAGAGGATCATTCCGTTGCAAGATCTTCAAATTATAAGCAAAACTCAGAGATGAAGAGGTGGACGAACATGAGACAGGAATATGAGGAAAGAACAGGAAGATGACGAAGATAATGAGGAGGAAAAGAACGAGAACAGAGAATGAGGAGCAAAAATAGTGGAACACAAGAGATGCGTTTCACTCACACAGGAGAATGGGAGAATGAGGAGCACACTCACCTGTCTCCGTCCTGCTATGCCTCCGCCGCTGTTGCCGTGCCGTCGGCGTTGTCCGAGTGGATGGCGCTATCGTTGTCCAGGGTAGCCGCCAAAACATCTTGCACCACCGCGGAAAATATCCTAATCCACCGTGCTTTCCAAACCCAAACTTGGGCTGCAAACGAGTTGTGATTGGCGTGATTTCTTAATTGCCTGCTCCAAAAATCGCAGCGCCTAAGTGGGCCGCCTGTCTCTATCGCGTCTACGACCAACTTTATGTAGAAATTGTTTCTACAAATTTTGCACATATATATATGTGTGTGTGTTGTGCTTATTCCGAATCGCCCGAACGAGCGATTTCCTAATTCCAACGGCGGCTGCCGGGAAAAGAGTGCCATCCACATGATACGGAAATACCATCGTGACATCAATTGCGACTAACACATATTTTGCGAGAGGGGACCCGGTGCAGTCGGTAATGTCGATGTTAGGGGCTGCCGTGGCCACTATTGCAGCATGGCGAATTCGAATTCCCGCTTCGATTTTGCCACTTTTGGAACGTGTCGTGTCCTGATTTTATATGTGAAAAAAGATCCGCCGCAACGGTCTTCCCACTGCCACTTGAAATCTGGAAGGCGACAAAATGAATATTGGATCGCTGGTGCAAGGGCGCCCTAGCACGGCCATTATGTCGCATTCACGTACTCAACAAAGAAATCTTCCGAAAACGGACACGCCACACACTGCTTGTCTTGAGCGAAGTCTGCAGCATCAGCGTTTTTTTCTGAACGGTGGGGCCAATTAGGGATATGTTGACATTTCTGTTGTTACAACTGGCGAGCGCAAGCTTGCAGTCGTAGCAACATTGTAGTTCTGGCAAGCTCATCGGTGATCATTGCAATTACAACCCTAAGTTTGCTAATACGCATCATTGGTAAACCGACTGCCCAAAATGAGGGCCCCCGGGGCAAAACATGCTGCCGAACGCACTCCTAAACTGTTGATCCGTGTTGTTAACGTGGCTACGTTGCGGGCCATAGAACCTAGTTCCAAAGCCGTGTACTTGATTTAGCGTAAGTTTCCAAATCCACCTGAAACAATATGCGAATAGTAAGAAGCCTGCCCGTGGCACGCTAGACATGGCCAACGTCACGCATTGTACGCGCACCCCAGATGCAGCAACATGTTAAATACTGGTTGCTCTTTCTGCATTGGTTCAGAGGCATGTGCTGTCCCCAGTAGTGTGCCCACAGTGACGAACTCATTTTCCTCCAGGTGGTTGTTGGCCACCCACGCGTCCGACCCCAACGTCTCAATGTCGACGGGGACGTCTCCCCCTGCTCGGCACCACGCCCGAAGCTTGCCCCGATGTGCACGCACACCCGCTCGACGCATTTTGCCATCTCAAGACAGACCATTGTGGTCCCGGTCCTGGACGGAAATATATTTGTTGCTGGTAAGGTGGTGCATTTCCCGGTGAACTGGTGCATTTCCCGGTAAACTATGTTCTTCCCCGGTTACAGAATTATTGTGAATCTTGTGGAACTTCTGGAACACCTCCTGCGACCTTACTATAAGCCTTCCCGCGCGGCCTCTGGAGCGCTTTGCAAGCGCCTCTGGGACGCTTGTGAGCGCCTCTGGAACGCTTGAGAACCCCTCTGGAACGCTTACGAGCGCCTTTGCGGCGGGCGCTTCTAAACGCCTCTGGTGCACCTTTAGAACGCTCCGGGAGCGCCTCTGGAACGTCTGCGGAGCGCCTCTGGATAGCCTTTGAGGCGCCTGTGGACCCCCTCTGGAGCCCCTTCTGGAACGCCTCTAGAGCTGTTTGGAGCGCCTCTGGAGCGATTCTGAATGCTTCTGGAGGGCTTCTGGAGCGCCTCTGGAGCACCTCTGGAGCGCCTCTGGGACGCCTCTGGAGCGCCTACTCCTAATCGGTTACTATTCTTACTACTACTACTACTACTACTACTACAACTACTACTACTACTACTACTACTACTACCACCACCACCACCACCACCACCACCACCACCACCACCACCACCACCACCACCACCACCACCACCACTACTACTACTACTACTACTACTACTACTACTACTACTACTATTAATATTATTATTATTACTACTACTACTACTACTACTACTACTACTACTACTACTACTACTACTACGCGAGGGCTACGACTAGTAGTTGTAGGTAGTACGAGCAGGAGAAACAGTTGTAGTATCAGTATTAGTATTAGTATTAGTAGTAGTAGTAGTAGTGGTAGTAGTAGTAGTAGTAGTCGTAATAAGAAATAATAATAATAATAGTAGTAGTAGTAGCAGCAGTACTAGTGGATGAAGACGTAGCACTC